CGGGCGTGGTCACGCTGTGGGTGGTGTCGGTTTGTTTGAATTCCCCTGCAGGGCGGGCGTTGTCCTTTGGAGGACGTGAAAAGTTTACGGGTCGTAGCTTGGGTAGCTTGGTCAAGATGACATGACGAACTTTTGGAGCTGGTAAACCTGTTGAAGTCGATAGTGGGCGCTGTCTGCAGGGCACCCGACTTTGTTTTCGGACCACCACATCCATCCAGATTGCAAGCCAGGCGGGAAGAAGAAGCAACGAAACGCAGGCATGGCGTTTGTGTGTTGATCATTTGCGAGGGTGCAACGAGACCGGCTGCCAAGATAATTGCAGGGTAATAGCAGAAATCTTTAGATGCGAAACGGCACAGCCAGACCGGACGCCGAGGCCAGCAACGCGCAGTAGCAGCAGCGGTAGCACGGCAGGCCGGGTGGAAATAAGATGAGTCGCGGAGGGGTGCAGGCGACGGAAGAAAGGCGGCGGCGTGTCGGCGTCAGGTCAGCACAGGACGGTCGCGACGCGGGCCGGACAGTTGATCTCTTGGTGGGATTGGTGTGTTGTGGACTTGTGGTCTCGTCAGCTCCAGCAGTCGATGACCACGCGGTGTGGTGGCCAGAAGCGGGATGGTACCGCGCCTCGACAAGGTAGGGCGAGCCTCGAGGCAAGGCATGTGTCGAGAGGGTGTTTCATGAAGGGAGGCGAAAGTAAGAATAGCAGCGCTCCGTCGTTGCGTAAGGTATCCGTAGCTGCTGCCGGCTGCTGGTTTGATAGGCGCCCGTTGGCCATTGGACGGGCGGCGTCATCTCGAATCGCCAACCTAACACGGATGCGAGTTCGAGTTTGTGGGAGCCGGTGTGTTTTTTGGCGGAGCAAGCATGGTTTGTCTTTTTTTTGTGAATTTGATCGCGAATCGATTGGCAGAGAGGTGTCGAGAAAGCTGTCCATCGCTTGTTTCATCTGTCTGTACTCTGTTCGACGTAGGCCAATGAGAGGCGGGTAGTGATGGCGTCTGAGGGTCCCCTGACAGGCGACAGGCCGGGGAAAGGAAGCTGACGTGACGTGCGTAGCTTTGCTTTGCTCTGCTCGATCCTTTTTTTGGATGCTTTGCTGGCGGTTGATGACTCCTCGTCGTCGGTTGTTATTGGGTGGTGTTTTGGTGGAAAAAGTGGTAAGGTAGGCGAGAGGTAAGGGAGACAGCGGCACGTATCCTTTGCAGGTTAACGTGCGTTTATCCGTAGCGTTATTGGCCAATGAGATGGCGAGAAGCAATTCTGCCAACACCAAAACCCAGGGTCGCGAACTGGGAAGCAGCAGACGAATGGCTGGGGGTGGGCCATGATGATTTCCTCCTGCACGTCTTGTCGCTCGCTTCCGCCTGGATTGTTGTGAACATGGACGTACTGAAGTAATGCTGCTTGTTTTGGGAACAGGATACACAGACATGGACCCTTGCTCGTGGGATCGTGTCTTGGTGCTTCTGCAACCACTGGTTCAGCTGCCATGAGCCAGCTCGGGCTCGCAGCGGGAAGAGGAGCTACGGGGATCACGGAGGCCTAACGGAGCGGCGATGGCCAGTCAACGGGCTTCGTGAGACACTCAGTGAAGAAGCTATTCCGGATAGACGTGCATGTAGCTAAGGTATCTGTATGTCCGTCCGTACGGAGATCACTGCCTACCCATCGAGGCTACCTTGCGCAAAAGTAAATATGGATATCTCACTTCGTCCAATCCATCCCTTACCCTCGGCGCCTCTTGTCGTATATTTCATCCCTGTGTCCTCCTCTCCCTTTTTTGATTCTGAATCCTGTGTCTTCCCCAGGACCTTGATTCTCGCATCTCAAATCACCTACACCGTCGTCATCGCCGGCATTCGAGGGTTGTTGTATTGAGTACAACCACCTCAGAGACTTTCCTTTCGCCTTTCTTATTGTCGACTCGACCGAAACCGAGACATCAACCCCGGACGATTTCACTCGCATCGAAAACAACAACAGCCGGTCTGGTAATACGAAGCGAACTTTACGCGACAAATCTTTCTTCTCCTAGACTTGGCTCTATTGTTTATTGTTCCTCTCTTTATTTGAAGGATCCTTGCCCTGCTTTGGATCTGTTTTTCGTTGAACAACTATTCAGCGCTATTGCAACGACCATTCCAGGTTCCAACCGCCCTGTGCCCCGCCCCACCCGCGCGCCTTCCTGCCCGGTCGTTCACGTTCGCGCCTGCCTCCGGCTGTCTGCTGTGACCCGCCTACAAACGCATCCGAAAGAGCAAGAACTGGAACAACTTCTTGCATCTATTGCATTTTCATCAGACTGTCACCGCCCTGTCGACATCGGTCAGATTTTTTATTGAATCCGCCCTGGCTGGCAATCCTGGATTAAAAGCCTGAACGAACCTGCGCCGTCTGATCAATCATATCCCGCCATCATCTACATCGACGGTATCACCAGCATTAGCACCAACATCACCAACATCGCTAGGCTTTTTTGGTGCTTATCCGCATCCATCTCCATCCCCATCCCGCCCGAGGCGCATCCCAAAACCTAGTATCGCCTGTCGCGCCTGCATCTCACCGCCCGCCAACAGAAAACATACAGATCCGAATTTCGATTGACACCCTGAACCTCGTGTTCATTCCGCCTTCGATTCTGCCCAAGAGCCTCGACCGTCTCGACCGTCAACCCGCTACGAGCAGACATCGTCTTCAGTCGGCATTCAGTCAGAGACTTGGTCAACCCCTGCTTCCGGCACTTGATTCGCAGAAAGCGGCCTGCACCGCCTCACCACCCGACTGCCCAGACTCTGCAGCTCCGTACGCCAAGTACCGGCTACCCTGCTCCCCGGGCATTTTTGGGCTGAAGTCTCCGTACCCCGTACTCTGTGTCCCGTCTGTACGAGATCAATACCTTACCCCGTACCGACCACGGTGGACATCGTTTTCGCTGCTGCCAAAAAGCTTGAGAAAGCGGCTTCACTTCGGAAAACCGCATTGCATTGCCCAACGCCTCGTTCACGGTTCACGGTTCACTTTGCGCCCAGCCTGGACGTTGTTGAACCCAACAGCATCACCGTCATCGTCCTCCTTCCCGGTTCTCGACTTTCCATTCGCGTTGCATCCAAAGACAAGACCCAGGTCCATCCCGCCAACCGACGCCTTACTCGACGTCTGAACAATACTGTTGGAGGCTATTCTCCCCATTCAACCATTTACCGGCGACACACGTCCGCAATATCGGCCGGACAAACTGTTCAATCTGGTTCCAACCTCCGCATCGAGACACACAATCATTTTCCCGTCTTCAACCTGCTTCACGTTTCCGGTCTTCGGATCCCGGCCGAACAAAGCCCAGCACACACAGCATCTTGTATCTGCTGCTGGCTTACACGACACCCGCCCCGCGGCCCCGAGAACAATTAATCAATAATCGACACTCGTCTAACGCCGTCCGCAGGCTCGGAAGCTTTGGACTACTCTGTACAGAGACAGCATCTGACTACCGCTGCATCGAGTCCCTCTAATTACCCGCTTCTCACCGTGATCCTCGCATCCAGAACCCACACCGCTCTGCCGCTTTACTGCTACAGAGCATCTAATTCATCCACCCATCTGCCAACCGCCATCCGTCGCGGGTGTACGATCCAAGCGTCAGTCAATCAATCAATCCGACCCAACTCAAAATCACGGTCGAGGCGGCTCAATTTGCCCTCGACGTTCAGAAGTCATCGCGGCGGCCCTCTCTCCAAAACCCAAACCCAAACCGCCGGCCCCTGACTCGCCCGGTCGTTTTACTTGACGCCTTCACCTCCTCACCCGCAACTTCACCAAGTACTTGGCGGGCGTGACTCGGATATCTCGTCCGTTTGCAGCCTTCAAAACTCGACCTCTTTCCTCCATTCGTCATAGAGCACCGAACATTTCCCAGGCACTCGGGACCTTCTTCGCTCTTGGCTGCCATTGTCGTCAGTTGCAACAATAGCAAATTCGTCTCGATACCGTCGCCGACCATTTCTGCTTCCAGAGCTCCAGGAAACCTCCGTCTCCACGCTTCCATCGTCGCTGGCGTCCACTATCCTCGCTCTTTTCGCGGGTTTTCTATTCTCAGAAACCCAAAGTTGCCACCTGTTCGCCGTCGTCGCCGAGCGATCCCCGCCAACTTTTGTTGTCCCCAGACAATACAGCAGCACAACAGCCAGACTGTCACCGTCAAGTCACATTCGCTACCGAAACATATTATCGTGTTCCTCGACTTGGATTTGAGCCAAGAGTCACAATCGAGGAAATCTATCATCATCCGGATATACAAGAGACTGTTGCGCCACACTCCACTCTCGGAGGTCAATATCTACAGTCAAGCAAGTTATCGCTGCACCCGCGAAATCCTGACCCCGGCCGGCCAGTCCGCCCCCCTGCGACTTTCGCTTTCCCTCTCTTCTTGGGGATCGTTAACATCACACCCTCTCTCGGCTTCTCTTACACACCCCAAAACCAACCACCCCCTGCCGCCATACCCAAGCACGCCCTCCCCCCCTTGCACGCCTTCCACACCCCTGCACCCCTGGGATCTACAGCATTCCAGCCCACCCCAAGCATCCAAGCCCCAGCAGGCACTTCCGTCGGCGTCCTGCTGAGACCCCCTAAAATTCTAACCCCCTACTACCGCTAGCACTGACTAGTACCCCCCTGACAACCCGCCCACTCAGCCTCGTGGACCGCACGTCACCCACTGACGACGAGCTGCCCGCATCCCTCAGTTCCCAGGTCTATCCCCAAAGCCTGGCCCCGTCACTTGCGACGAGGCACATGAACTTCGCCGCACACACCCGTACCCTCCTTTTCGTCTAATATATCAGCCCAGCGCTGCCCTTCCCGATTCTTGTCGGATTCTCTTATTTCGTCACTCACAACGACTTCGACAAAAGGGATCCTTCCTCCACCCAAGGACCTTCACGACACATCCGCCTCCATCATCAACCACCTCCATCACACACCAACACATACACACAGACACAATGGAGTCAAGGCCACATCTCACCATGGCAGAGCTCAACGCCGCCGCCCTCGACCACTTCGTCTACCAGCCCGTCAGCAAGTCGATGATCTCTTACCTGGCCGGCGCTGCCTACAATGTCATCGCATGCGACAGTGCTCTGATGCCCCCCGCCTCCGCCGAGGCCTACCGTCAACAACAGCTTCCCCCGTCGCCGCCGAGGACACCCGAGCCCCGCGCCGTTCGCTCCGAAGACAACGACCTTCCCAGTCTCGAGGAGTTCATCACGCAGCTCGTTGTTTCTTCCAACGTCCAGGTCCCGACACTCATGTCAACACTGGTCTACCTCACAAGGCTCAAGTCCCGCTTGCAACCCATGGCTCGCGGCCTTCGATGCACTACCCACCGCATCTTCCTCGCTGCTCTCATTCTCACTGCCAAGTACCTCAACGACAGCTCACCAAAGAACAAGCACTGGGCTGCATACAGCCACACCAACAAGGACGCCTCCAACTTCGGCTTCAACAGGACAGAGGTCAACCTCATGGAGAAGCAGCTCTTGTTCCTTCTGGACTGGGACTTGAGGATTACCGAGGAGGATCTTTACCGCGAATTCGACCCCTTCCTGGCACCTATCCGTGCCGAGATCGAGGCCAAGCACGCTCGCCGCGTCGCTCGCCGCCGTCAGAAGGAGGAGGAGATGCGCCGGAGACAGGAGGAGATGTACAACATGCAGGCCTACCCCAGCCCGCCGTCGTCGCGCGCCAGCTCTCGCTCACGGCAAGAGACCCCCGACCACGCTCGCTCGTACAGCGCTGCCTCCTCCATCACACCACCTGGTCTTTGCTACAGCAGCAGCTATGGCAGCTCTGTCAGCTCATATGCGCCCTCCGTCGCCTCGAGCCGTTCTCAGTCCCGCGCCACCACACCACTGGACAACCCCGCCGAGGAGCCGTACATGTACGTTCCCAACGGCAGCTTGTACGAGTCACCCGTCGAAGTGCACATCGAGCACCCCGCGTCAACCCTGCCGAAGCGCAAGCCTCTTCTTCCCTACGAGATCAGCACCGAGGAGCTCCGCGAGATGCAAGACGGCACCAAGGCGAAGAGGGCTCGCATGGGCCGTGGCATGTGGGGCCGTGTCTTCGGTGGTACCGTGACGGTGCGGTAGACCGCAGCACCGCTCAGATTATTTTCTTTGTACACACATTTCCTCTGTTCTGTTTGAAGTCACTCCAAAAAAGCATGGTGTTGGTTTTGTCTCATAGAGAGAGCACGGAAGGACAGATTTGTTTATCAGGCGCTGGTAATGGTCAGGTACATGGAACACGGATTGAGGATAGAGCATCCTCGGGGCATTTGCATATATGGAACGGTGTTGGGGCGGACATTCATGAACATGATCTTTGTTTTATATCAGGTTGTTTTGGTATCCCGCACGGTCGGGATTGTTGGGTTATGGTCGATCGCTCCCAAGGGACGAAGCGATGCTATCTACGAGATACAAGGTCTCCTCACGAGGATTCCCAAGAAAAACACGGGCACTACCCGTTTCCAAACAATTCATCTGTTCCCGCACTCGTGATTCAATGATCGCTGTTTGGTTTCGTGAACTACCGGCCTGCCTCCCGCATGCAGGGCGTCGCGGTTCTAGAACGGTTGGCTCCCTAGTGGCATGCACACCCGACTCGACGAACCCTCGTGACGTTGGATGCAGCCGGTCGTGTGTCCGGGTGGGGGAGACCTTCGCATTCAGCTTCACATGCGAGACATTGCTATCACCGAAGCGAAGGTAGATAGGTCACTTGCAGAAATTTTTTTCAAGTGAGTGTCATTTTTTCTTCTTTTCTTCTTTTTCGATGGGCTGGACTGGACTCGTGATGATTAACCTCTTTCCTCGAGGGATGTTTTCGTTCTTTGGGTAATGAGTTGGTGATGGTGATGGTAAGGACATGAATCGTAGCGAGTCGATTTCAAGCTCCAACACGCCGCTACCAGAGTACCTACCAGCCAGGCAGGCAGGCACGACAACCACAGTAGCGATCGTTCTTCACAAACTAGACTTCATCATGTCACTGATACGGCTACCGAAGCTCTCGTTATCGCGAACACGTCAAGTTTGATAGGCAGAGATTGACAGAGTACACGACTCGGGGGGGACATGACTACTTCCAAAGTCTGGTGGCCCCCAAGTCATGATTCGCATCGCCCATGCACACATGAATCGGGTCCTCCGGGGGTGTGTTGTAACCTTATAGCATCATAGGTTTACAAGGATCGCGGGTGACGCGGGGGGAGGGAGACTGGGAAGAGTAGAAAGCAAGTTTGAATCGATCCGAAAATCTCATAAACCTATTTTTTTCTTGCTGGATTGATGATGGTATCACGGATTCTCCGGTACCGCAAGCCCAGGCTCTTCGGCTTTTGGGACAGAGGCTGTTGCGGGAGAGGCGCGCCTTCGGTACGGCCATAATGGGGGGTCTCACTGCCGCGCCCAGAATGGGAGAACGGGGATGAGAGACATTGTCCAGATTCAGCGGTTTTCTTGGCTTGGATTTTTCTACCGGTCATTTTCACATCGCATCCGTCCGTCTGAGGGACGATCTGGATTTCCCAGCTGTCCGGACGCGCCAGGCTTGATGAAATTGGTTTCTCCGCGCCCAGACGTCTACGAGTTTGCATTGACACATTGACACACACCTGTTGAGTAGGTAGCTGCCTATGTTAGTTTGTGAGTGGAGTCTATGTGCCTCCGAAGGTCGGGACTCGTCCCCGATGTCGTTGGTTCCGGACGGGTGTATGGGACGGGGGATTTCGGGCAAGATGCTGCTGGTTGTGTGCGGTTTCCCGGGGACATTCGGGGGTGGTTGTCAGTCACGATCGACCGGAATGCGCGATCGTGATGCCCGGGTTTCACAGGGGGAATTCTCGGGGAATATTCGCTCGCCTTCCTCTTGAAAGTGTGTGTGGCCAGCCGTTCCATCGTCACCGTTTGAAGGGAGAGAGAAACAGAGTTCTGTTGGCATCGCCATGCACGGCGTTTGGGCGATGCACAGAGTTGCGGAATGCAGCATGCAGAACGCCCAACGCAGGTTTTAGGGGTCCTGGTGGTGACGTCTAGACGTGGTCGGGCCTTGAAAAGTTAGAAGGCTGATGGCTGGGATCGGCTTGTCAGCGACGGTACACGTATCTTGCGTGCTTGGGAATGATCCTCGAGCGAAGGCGGGGTTGGAGAGGGGGAACACTGTGAAGGAAGCCTAGTACGCCGTCAGATGTCGTGCCTGTTGTTGGAGGCACAGCGTGCATCCTTGTGGTTCGGACCGGTGGTGATCGTTGAATCGTCGCCGTCTTGTTGGAAATGTCGGTCAACGGATCGGAGGGTGTGCGTGGGCGTTGCCGGGCGTGCGGTTCGTTAAAGGATGTGGCTGGGGGCGGCATCAGGAAGCAGGATTTAGGCTTCGACCCCACGCCGGATCGTGATGCATGTTGGGAAATCCCATAACACGGCTTGTTGATGTTGTTCGTGTTGCTTTTCGTCGCGTGTGCGTCGCGGTCGTGATTCCCTAGGCCATGCCTGACGTGTCTGTGAATGGCAGGGTGCGCGATCCATGTTGGCCAGCACGGAGCCCAACCCTCGATGGCCGGCGGTCGGGTTTCCGGCGTGGGTCTGAAGGCCGGCACGGGGGCTGGGGCGTGAGTCACAGGGTCGGGGTCCAGGTCGCGGTTCGACGGTCGGATGCTGCGGTTGCCAATGAAATCCCACTGAAGCCTTCAGTCAGATGCACACGGCATTCTCAGTCGGGGCTAGCAGCAGACCGTCTGCCTGTCAGCGACATTCCAGCGGCGTAGGGTGATGCACCGCTGCCATTAGGCATTAGGTCAGCCCGCCGGGTTGGAGATACGGGCCGTGGCAGCGTGCTTAGGGGCAGGTCAAGTGATCGTATCCCTGCTTCTTCGCCCGGTGGCCCGCCAAGCCCACGATGCGAACCCGAGACCTCCGGCTGGGCGAACCCATGAATGTCGAAGAAATGATTGTTGGGTTGACTGTGGCTTGGGCCAATCGTTCGTGGCTCTTGGGCAATGTCTGAAGCGTTGCGAGTTACGCCTGATTGATTGCGCCGAGGCTTTGGCACCCTAGCGGACGTTAAAGCCTGCTGCGCCCATCTCAGCCTCTCAGCCTCGAGCCAATTACCAAAGGCCATCCGCAAGACTTTTTGCACTTTTGCGATTCGATCGCGAGGTCTTGGCGAAGGCAAACTCGTTTGCCGGTCGTTGACCCATTCCCGAGATTGCCATCTTGAAAGCCAAGGAAACCATATGCGACTCAGCCCGTGGCGTGAGGATGCCGTGGTGTCAGCACCAGCAATGTAGAATCCGGTGGCTTTTGCAGACAAGACTGACAAATTGGCCGATGCGTCACATGGACGCGGCATGGCTCAGATAGGCAATGGCATTTGGTGATGCTTGTTGGAGCTCCGCCACGACTGCGGATAGACGCGTTGACAGGGCAGTAGAACAGACAAAAGTGTCCATGTCCGGGCTCTTGTAAACGTGGTAATCGTCTGAAAACCAGGAGACAGGTGTCGACGTAGAACGGCTGGATTTGCTGGGTTTTCGGCCATGGGCTGAGGCGTCGTTAGAGGTATCCAACATTGATACCGTTGATAGTCCGAGCGCTGATCCGATGTGTCGCGTGTTCAGTCATGCGAGATGTATCCGAAGTTTCCGTTCCAGAATATTCTCCGAGACATTGGGTCGCTGGAAAAGATCTTGCAGCTCGCCGTCGTCGGCATTGTTGATGTTGTTCGTCAATATCTGCTGTCGTCTTTTTCTTCCCCGTCCTTCGTCGTGGTCTATTTCTTGTGGGAGACTGCTCAGACTGATGGAAACTGCAGCAGAAGCTGAGTTGCTCTGTCTCCCGATATTCAAGTCTTGACACAGGAGCAGGAAGTCGTAGTTCTTGATAACAGCAGGGGCAGACAGCTTCTATAGACCAGCTCCAGGCCATGGTTGAGGAGCCGCACACTCGCTGGTTGAACCTCATTCCAGGAAGAGTGATCGACAGGCACTGAGCAGGGGTCGAGGGACAGAACCGCCGAGAAGATCGGACATTTCCCTGATGGCGGGCTGAATCGATCAATTGGAGGCGGAATTGCGCTTGGAAATGCTGCAGATGCGTGGATCATGCTGCAGCTAGCGGCTAGCGGGATGCGGGGAGACGCTGTAGACGCGGCAGACGCAGGCGGTGGATTTGCCACTTCCAATGATGAACGATTAAAAATGGTGGGCATAAAATCAAGATGACCAACGTGATGGTTTGATGGCTCATAAAATGTGTTATCGGAAAGTTCATGTCGATTCCAGATCCAAGCGCGTTGCTTTGGCGTATCAGCGCGCCCCTTGAGGCACCCAAATGAAACCTGGACGGACCCATAATGAGCAGATTACGTCAGAACCTGCGCTTTTTGTGCGGAATGGACAGTACGGACACAGTGAATCCTTACCGAGCTGCTACAGTGCGCTCACTGGGCGGAAGGAGGCAACTTCGGTCGCCGACTCTCAAAAATCTGCACCGCACAAAACGCGCACCCCCAATGAGGCAAGGGGCAATCTGGTCAACATTGCAAAAAGACAGCACAAATGCCGCGGAATGAAAAGTCAGATGGTCCTATCCTAGAACATGCATTGACAGGCAGTTAATAAAACCATGGGCGTCTGTCTTTCCCGAACCTAGATCGGCCTTCCGTCGCAACTTTCATATTGCTCGTCAAGGGATCCGGGGTTTGACAGCCACCATTTCGGCCATCGGCAGCGCGCTACGTCGATCCATTACAACTACATCTCTGTAATCACATCGACTACCACCAGCCACAACATCGTCGAGTCGTGTCGACCGGTGTCCTTAGATCGTGTGTATTTTCTAGACGTGGTATTGGTCACTTTTTTTTTGAGACTTATATTCTTCCCTGTGAGTATCAGACCAGAGTAGGCAGAGGCGAACAAAGGAAACTGACACAGCAGCAGGGAACGGGCCAACAGCCTCGATTTAACCGTTGAGGTTCTCACATGATCCAGGCCTTTTTGCGACCCCTCGAGTTGAAGGTTGTCATCAATTTTGTCACAGTAGCCAGTGATTACTGTTGAATTGCATTTTATCCGGGGTTGAACACCTTCCTCGCCTCTGGAGCTCAGAAGATTGCAGAGCAAAAAGGGCCAGCAGACGACGCTGCCAGGCAAATGCCGAGAGGAATCCACCAACCGAAGAGGCGCCAGTCAAAAGGGAGACTGCGGACCACGACAACAACCATAGGAGCAACCATGAATCCCCGCATCACCACCTCGTTTCTGCTGGCCAACCTCCACTGCCCATCATGCGTGTCATCAATCCAGCAGGCTCTCAAAGAGTCTTGCAGTCGCGACGTGATCTGGGTGTCACCCAACGTCGTCACCTCGGTCGTCACCATTGAACACAGGCACACCGACACCCCCGACATCACCATCCGCTCCATGGCCAAGGCATTACAGGAAGCCGGCTTCGAAATCAGCGGTGTCACCACAACGGCTGCTACCACCAGTGATTTGGACGTGGCAATCCAGGGCCAAGACGCCTTTGGTGTGATAGACTTAACCACCTGGCCACCCACTGAATCACCAGTCCAACGGGAGGCTCACCTTTTGAACTGCAAACAGTGCCGCGAGTCCGAGGAATCCACTCCCCATGGCTCTTGTCGCTCACCCGTACACGAGTACTTGCCAGACCACGGCAGCAGCAGCTCCGACACACGCAGAGAGTCAGGCACCGAAACGCCCAGCCAGTGGAGGGCAACCCTCTCCATTGGAGGAATGACCTGTGCCTCCTGTAGTAATGCAATCACCGAACAGCTCAGCAAAAAGGACTGGATTTCCGACGTTGTCGTCAATCTGGTGGCCAACAGTGCTACTGTCGATTTCACAGAGGAGGGAAAACAAGACGACATCGTCGAGATGATCGAAGACATGGGTTATGACGCGCATCTCGACAGCGTGGCTGGCCTCGGGCAAGACGAGACCTCCGAAGTCGGTTCATGGAGGGCTACCGTCGCTGTCGGAGGCATGACCTGCGCCGCTTGCGCCAACACCATCACAGAACAGCTGAGCAAGAAAGATTGGGTTTCCAACGTCGTAGTGAACTTGGTTACGAACAGCGCCACCATCGATTATACGGAAGACGGCAAGCAGGATGAAATTGTTGAAGCGATCGAGGATATGGGCTACGATGCTACCTTGGACTCCGTGACGAGCGTCAAGAACGAGCAAAAGGGTGCCCAGGAGCGTACGGTTCAGATCTCGATTCATGGGCTCTACTGCCAGCACTGCCCTGGCCGAGTCTCGCATTCTCTCAGATCCTTCAAGCGTGTCAAGGTTATGGAAGAGCCCACACCCCAGAAACCCATCATCACCGTCAAGTACACACCCGAAGCGCCGTCCTTCACCATTCGACAGATTCTGTCCGCTATTGACGCTGCAGACCCTGCGTTCAAAGCCACAATCTACCATCCGCCCAGCCTGGAGGAACGCTCAAAGCTTATCACGAGAAAGCACCAGCAGCAACTTCTCAGGAGAATCTACCTTACACTGGCGGTCAGCATTCCGACTTTCGTCATTGGCATTGTGTACATGAGTCTCGTATCCAATTCGGATCATGGGAAGCACTATCTCATGAAGCCATGGGTTTCCGGTATCAACCGAGCGCAAGTCGCCCTGTTCATCCTCGCAACACCGGTGTATTTCTTTGGTGCGGATGTTTTCCACACGAGGGCGATCAAGGAGATCACGAACTTGTGGCGTCCCGGCAGTAAGACGCCCATTCTGCGACGTTTCTACAAGTTTGGAAGCATGAACATGCTCATGTCACTCGGAACGACCATCGCCTACGTCTCATCCATCTGTCAGATGGTGGCAGCAGCCATTACCAAGCCGGAGATGATCGACGACACTCAGTTCTATTTTGATTCGGTTGTCTTCTTGACTCTGTTTCTACTTCTCGGTCGCCTGATCGAGGCATACAGCAAGTCAAAGACGGGCGATGCGGTCGAGGCGTTGGGCAAGCTGAGACCTACCACTGCCACACTGATCACCAAAGATTCCATCGGCAAGACGACAGACTCAGTCGTCGGCGTCGACATGCTCGAGTACGGCGACATCATTCGCGTACCCCACGGGGCATCGCCTGCTGCGGATGGCGTTGTGGTGGAGGGCGAGAGCAGCTTTGACGAATCCAGCTTGACCGGCGAGTCCCGTCTCATTAAGAAGGTACCGGGAGATGAGGTTCACGCCGGAACGGTCAACAAGGACTCGGCCCTTCAGGTACGCATCACGGGCGCTGCGGGGGCGTCCATGCTCGACCGAATCGTGTCCATCGTTCGCGAAGGCCAAACGAAGAGAGCGCCGATGGAACGCATTGCCGACAGGTTGACAGCCTACTTCGTCCCGATCATCACCCTCATTGCAGTACTGACCTGGCTGACCTGGATCGTTCTTGGCTATGCCGGAGCGATCCAAAGGCGCCATCTCAACACGGAGGGTGGCTGGGTTGCCTTTGCTCTGCAGTTTGCCATCTCCGTCTTCGTTGTGGCCTGTCCTTGCGGCTTGGCCCTGGCAGCTCCCACAGCCATTTTTGTAGGTGGTGGCCTCGCAGCGAAGCACGGCATTCTTGCAAAGGGAGGTGGCGAGGCCTTCGAGAAGGCGAGCAAAGTCGACGTTGTTGTCTTTGACAAGACCGGCACATTGACTGTTGGCGGCGAGCCCAAGGTTACCGATGCTAAGCTCTTCCTTGACATGGCAGACACCACAGTGGAAAGCGACATGGTTCTGGCCACATTGCGAGCAGTCGAGGAGAACAGCAGTCACCCAGTGGCCAAGGCTATCGTGTCGTACTGCGCGACACAGACCGAGGTTTGGACAGAAGTGGAAAACGTACAGGAACTACCTGGCAAGGGCGTCAAGGCAAAGAGCCGTGGGGAGAAGCCGGAAGATTCCATCGAAATGATCGTGGGCAACGAGTCCCTCATGCGCGACTACAAAGTCGAGCTCGTCGAGCAAGTGTCTACTCAGCTACAGCTGTGGAAGACCGAGGCCAAGTCGGTTGCTCTCGGTGCCATCAAGCCCGCGACAGCTGGTGCCGATGCGCCGTGGACACTGGTGGTCGCGCTGGCTATCTCGGATCCAATTCGCCCCGAAGCGTTCCCCATCATCCGCGCACTCAAGGATCGTGGTACTCGCGTCTGGATGCTCTCTGGTGACAACATCGTCACTGCGAAGGCTGTGGCTTCGCGCGTTGGCATTAACCCTGACAACGTACTGGCCGAGGTTCTTCCCTGGGAGAAGGCGGACAAGATCACGTACCTACAGAGCGTGCTGAAGGCCCGGGTCGGTAGATCGCGCGAGCATTCGACAAACCGAGCCACGGTTGCCATGGTCGGCGACGGCATCAACGATTCCCCTGCGTTGACCAAGGCCGACGTCGGCATTGCCATTGGTAGTGGCAGCGATGTGGCTATTTCGAGTGCCGACTTCGTCCTTGTGACAAGCGATTTACGGGCAGTGGTGACGCTTCTCGACCTGAGCCGAAGTGTCTTCCGTCGGATCAAGGTCAACTTTGGTTGGGCAGTCATCTATAACCTGCTCGCCATCCCCATCGCGGCAGGCTGCTTGTACCCCATTACGACGTCTTCTGGAGAGCATATTCGCCTGGACCCCGTTTGGGCTAGTTTGGCAATGGCTCTCAGCAGTATCAGCGTTGTTTTGAGCTCTCTTGCGCTGCGCTCCAAGGTTCCAGGTCTTGGCTTCCGGCCCCGTGGTGTTCGGAATGCATAGATATGTCATTTTTGCTTTTCTCTTTCTTTTAAATCTTGCTCATCCCCGAGCGTGTATTACTGTCTAATGTACTGGATAAACAAGGGGCGACCCATAGGATAGAACGGATGGCATCAGCGTATTCAGTAGGATAACTTCAGTTAGTAGAATGGAGAAGTAATTCCACGAATGCATAAGTCAGCATGTAATTGGAAAGGTCATGAGCATTACTCTACACCGAGACATGAATAAGAACATATGAACTGATTAGTTCATTTTCAATCAAAAGCCCTCCTCACATCACATCACCAGTGCGTGTTGAGGTTGAAGTGGTGAAATCATCGGGGCGGGTGCCGATGCCGTGGCCGAGCGGGTACCGCACCGAGAACCGGCCGGGAAACCGACAGCCTGGGGTTAAAGAGCACCGGCAGTGAAAATACCGGACGAGATTGCCACCGAGGAAGCAGAATCTGGGGCAAAGACGGCTTTGACGCTTGCAATTCCGGAACCTGGAGGAGTCGAGTCGAGCACGCAATTCGAGGCGAGACGTGCCCGGGGTGGATTTGGTAAGCAGGCCCCGTCCGGCCAAGGGACCTTTAGTGGATCGAAAATGGTGCAATGTGGGGCGTCCGCACATGTCTGGGGCCATCTCATTGGCGCGCGATGGCGCAATTGTCCCCTAGTCGCGATTCTGCGAGCTTCAACAATTTCCAAACGCCGAGTTTCGCACGCCAACATGAGCACGAAAAGCAGAGAGGTTGACCGTGACGAACGGCAACAGCGCATAAGCATGGGTCCAACGTTCCCTGTGCTTTTTTTGCTAGGTAATCTGCCGTAAAGGACTGGTGCCAGCAATCCAGGTAAGGCCGGCTATGACAAGTTCCCCTTGTCCTTCTCTTACAATTTTTTTTTTATATCCTTCGGACCCTGCTCGGAGTTCTTCGATCTGGAGAAGATACCTACCTTTCACTTACATTTCCTTTTCCTCCACGATCCCAAGTTCATCCTAGAACGAAGAAACTTTCGTTCGGGTTGAAGCAAGTGATTCTGCTTGCTCTTGGTGAATCAATTGTTCAGTAGCGACCATTCTCTTGCGGGTGGTGAGGCTTCTCCTTCTGGTCCTCCGTCTATACTGGGCCATCTTTAATCGCATCTTCTTTGCTGTGTTTACTCCCAAGTTTCTGTCTCGACAACCTCCCAAGATGCAGTTCAAGCAACAAGAGAGCAGCGGCTCTGCTGCCGTCCTCGATGCGAAGTCTCCGGAACCCGTTGCCCCCGTCAACAAGGTCTCTTCCACCCTCCCCTTTGGCCAACCCGTGGCTCTCTCCTCCATCTCCGGACCGACCTACGTGACGGCCCAACTGCTTGTCCAGCAGGTTGCCTTCCTGCTGTCCGACAAGATTTTCTCCTATTCCGCCCCGACTTTCGACCTCGACGTCGCCGCCAAGGCCTGGGCCGAGGCCAAGGAGAAGAACATCCATGGCGACACCACCGACCTCGTCCAGCTTCAGACGAGGACCGGCGCCGGTGCCCTCGCCCTTGGATACATCTTCAGCCCGGATTTCGACCTGGCCAAGAGACACCTGCCACAGACCCTGCTCGCCCCTACCCTGAGCTTGAGGAACCTGCGCGCCGCTCTTGACCAGCTGAGCCTGCTGTACGGAGTTGCCTCCCCCTTCGTTGCCCACGTTGCGGCTCTCGACTACGATGCCGCGAACGGCCTGGTTTCCGACTACGAGACTGCCCTGCGCACCGCCGAGGAGCTTGGTCTTGGTCTTGTTGCCAGCTCCAGCGCGTACGAGACCCAGCACATGGCTCTGTTCGCTACCCTCATGGCTGCCCTCATGCCCACTCTCCACATCTACGACGGTGTCAGACTCGCCCGCGAGACCTCCCGCGTCGTTGATGCGCTGAGCGAGAGCGGCATTGCCGACCTGTACAACAACATCACCTCCGAGTCCACCGGTGTCACTGAGAGAGCCGCCATCTCCTCCAAGGTCGCCGATCTTCTGGATGTCTTCAACAAGCACCTCGACCCCACCGAGGACCACGAGAGCCAGCACACTGCTCTCCTGGCCACCCTCATGACCGCTCTCACACCTACTCTTGGTGTTGAGGACGGCGTCAAGCTGGCCAAGCAGACTCTCAAGGCCTCCGACGCCATGAACAAGAAGGGTGTTGCCGAGACTTACCAGAAGATCTCCAGCGAGGTCCAGTCTCTGAACAAGAGACTCGATGACTCCGGCAAGGTTGTTGAGCTCTTGAAGCTCTTCAACAACGAGCTCGGCACCGCCTACGACTTGTTCGAGTACCACGGCCACGAGGCCGCCGAGGCTGTCCTCGTCGTCTTCGGCAGCGCGGAGACCCAGTTGGCGAAGCAGGTCGTTAACCGTCTTGCTGCTGACGGCGCCAAGGTCGGCGCCATCAACGTCCGCGTCTACCGCCCCTTCGTCGAGGAGGCGTTCCTGTCTGCCATCCCCGCCTCTGCCCGCACCATCTCCGTTCTTGGCCAGGTCAAGGACGAGGTTGCCGTCAACGACGCCTCCCTGCAGTCTGCTCTGTACACCGACGTCCTGACCGCCGTCTCCTTCTCCGGCAAGTGGCGCCAGGACCCCGCCATCCGCGACGTCAAGTACTCCGCCTCGGAGGCCCTGACCCCTCAGACCGTTGCCGACATCTTCGGCAAGCTCCTGAACAGCGAGGCCGAGTCCAAGCACTTCCCCTCCCTGGTCCAGGCTCACCAGTACACCTTCTGGGACGTCGACGACTCCGCCGCCGTCGACTCCCCCGCTGTTGTCAGCAACCTGCTGTCCCGCGAGTCCACCAGCAATGTCTACGTCCACGAGTCGTTCGACAACCTTACCCAGGGCGGTATCGTCCGCACCGACATCCGCAGCTCCAAGAAGGCTGTCGAGGCTCCCTACGCCATCGAGGAGGCCGACGTGGTCGCTGTCGGCGAGGAGAAGATCCTCAAGGACCTCGACGTTGTCAAGAGCGTCTGCACCAACGGAAAGCTCCTGCTCAAGCTTCCCAACTTCAAGGAGGAGGACGTCGAGAAGCGTCTTTCCCCTGTTGTTCGCAAGCAGATCCAGGACAAGGGCATTGAGCTCCACGTCCTCGACGTTGCCGCCTCCCCTGCCTTCGAGAAGGAGCCCCAGGTCGTCAAGTTCCTGTTCGAGCTTGCCTTCCTCAAGATCGCCCGCCCCGACATCTCCGCTGAGGAAATCTCCAAGATCGCTCTGATCGAGGGCTTCCCCAACACCCTTGCCGAGTGCGTCGACGCCCTCGGCCAGTGCCTGCGCAAGGTCGAGTCCCAGGCCGCCTGGGCCGAGCTTCCCGAGGACGTTGTCGTCAGCGAGCTCCCTGCCACCATCAAGCCCAACAGCTTCGTGGCCTTCGACAAGGAGGAGCCCGAGGAGGAGTCCCAGCTCGTCGACTGGCAGGCCGCCGCCAAGGGTCTCGCCTTCAAGGAGGCCTACGGCACCCAGTCTACCCTCCGTCCCGAGCTGCCCGTCAAGACCTCCACCGTCACCGTCAAGGAGAACCGTCGTCTCACCCCCACCACCTACGACCGCAATATCTTCCACATCGAGTTCGACCTCGGCGACTCTGGCGTCACCTACAACATCGGAGAGGCCCTGGGCATCCACGCCGAGAACGACGAGCAGGAGGTCCGCGAGTTCATCGAGTGGTACGGCCTCGACCCCGAGGCCCTCGTCCAGGTCGCCGCCCGCGAGGACCCCAACGCCTTCGAGACCCGCACCGTCTACCAGTCCCTCAAGCAGAACATCGACGTGCTCGGCAAGCCGCCCAAGCGCTTCTACGAGGCCCTCGCCGAGTTCGCCTCGGACGAGAAGGAGAAGGCCATCCTCGTCGGTCTCGGCGGCGCCACCGGCGCCGAGGACTTTAAGAAGCGCTCCGAGGTCGACACGCTCACCTACGTCGACATTCTGCAGGAGTTCCCTTCGGCCCGCCCCTCGTTCCACGACCTCGTCCGCATTATCTCCCCGCTTAAGCGCCGCGAGTACTCCATCGCCTCCGCCCAGGCCGTCACCCCCAACTCGGTCGCCCTCATGATCGTCGTCGTCGACTGGGTCGACCCCCGCGGCCGCACCCGCTACGGCCACGCCACCCGCTACCTCTCGGCCCTCCCCGTGGGCGCCAAGGTCACCGTCTCCGTCAAGCCCTCCGTCATGAAGCTGCCGTCCTCCCCCAAGGCGCCCCTCATCATGGCCGGTCTCGGAACCGGTCTGGCTCCCTTCCGCGCCTTCGTCCAGTACCGCGCCCTCCAGAAGGCCCGCGGCGAGGAGATCGGCTCGATCCTGCTGTACCTCGGCTCCCGCCACCAGCGCGAGGAGTACCTCTACGGCGAGGAGTGGGAGGCCTACCTCGACGCCGGCGTCATCACCCACCTCGGCGCCGCCTTCTCCCGCGACCAGCCCCAGAAGGTCTACATCCAGGACAAGATGCGCGAGTCCATGCGCGACCTCGTCCAGAGCTACATCAAGGACGAGGGCAGCTTCTACCTCTGCGGTCCCACCTGGCCCGTCCCCGACGTCACCGACGTGCTCATGGAGGCCATCAACACCGAGGCCAGGCAGAGCGGCAAGAAGGTCAACGCCAGCAGCGAGATCGAGAAGCTCAAGGAGGAGGACCGCTACATTCTCGAGGTGTACTAGAGTGTGTGCCTCGGGATTTGTCTGTACATATACATAATCATCTACGGATGCGAGCCTGCTGAAAAGTTTTCTTGGTCAAATAGCCTTGTTTTTTTTAGAATGTGAATGAATATTTCTCATATCAATAGTGATCATGGTGAACTTTTTGCAAACGTGATACCCAGAAAAGTAACCCCCATGCCGTACAACCCAAGTAGAAACCATTTACGAATCGTACTTGGCCATAATCTCCCTCAACCGATCCAAAGGCAACGCCTCGATCTTCCTATCACAGAACCCCGTCATCGTCTCGGCGCCGCACAGCGCGTTATAAATACTCTCCTCCGTCGCGTCCGCCGCCGCCTCAAACAACCCGTTGATAGTCGTATCATCCACGCTCTCGACCCTCAACGCCCTCGCCTTGAACGGGTCCACGTGTTTCTTCTCACTATCAAGCGTCTGCACGGGGACCGCGTTCCCCGTCGAGAAGGCGAGGAAGATGTCGCCCGAGGGGTTATGCCCGTACCCGCCGACCCGCGCGAGCCCGACGGTCGCCCGCTTCGCCAGCCGCTGGCACTGCACGGGCGTCAGCGGCGCGTCGGTCGCGATGACGACGATGATGGACCCGTCCTTCTTCTCCTTGTGCGCGGCGACGTCGGCCTGCGCCGCGGCCTTTTCCGCCTCGAGCGCCCGCCCCACGGGGAACCCGCCGACGCGCAGGTGCGCCGCCTTGCCGTAGTTGGCCTGCACGAGGGCGCCGACCGTGTAGGACGTGGGGTTGCCGTCGGCGTCCAGCCCGCCGACCACGCGCGAGCTCGAGCCCGTGCCGCCCTTGAAGTAGTGGCAGATCATGCCGGTGCCGCCGCCGGTGTTGCCCTCGCGCACGGGGTCGGCGGCGGCGGTCTCGATGCCGCGGACGACGTCGGCGGGCGCGACGGCGAGCTTGGCGATGTCGTTGAGGTAGCCGTCGAAGGTCTCGCCGACGACAGGTAACAGGAACCAGGCGACCTCGCCGTTGGCGTTGGCGTAGTGGCGGATGGAGTGCTCGTAGACGCCGCGGTAGGCGTCGCCGACGGAGAGGGAGTTAGTGAGGACGACGGGGCTGGCGAGCAGGCCGGTCTCCTCGATCCAGTGGGAGCCGGTGAGCTCGCCGGAGCCGTTGAAGCGGAAGATGCCGGCGTAGCAGGCGTCCTTGAACCAGGTGTCGCGGGGGAGGATGACGGTGACGCCGGTGTTGACGCCGGGGGCGGAGTGGATCTCCTGGGTGGAGGCGAGGACGCCGGGGACGTCGGTGATGGAGTTTTTGGGGCCGGGCGGGTGGGTGCCGAGGTGGAGATTCGGGAGGACCTCGCGGACGCGGGCGCGGGGTTCCGCCGTTGTGGTTGTGGGGGTGGATTGGGTGGCCATTGTGTTAGAAGTAATTGTTTTAGACTTGAAGTGCTTGCGGTCCTACTTCTCAGCAATAGCAGCTTGGTCGCGCAATGGCAACCATTTTATACAGGTCTTCCATCATCGCCAATTCAAAGCTGTCGGCGTACGGGTTGGCGAAGGATCGTGTGAGCCTCCACTGCGACCCAATTAACTGGCGCGACTACGGGATGAATCATCATGAACCATTGTGTTCATTGGGCGGGTCGGCCGCCGTGTAAGCAGTGCGTGGGTTTCGACTTGCTCGTTCGGGCAGGTCGTGCAGGGAAGTGCTGCCTTTGCCGACAACGCGTACTCCGCTTGCGTGGGTTTTTCGTCGTCGGCGTCGACGACGGCTTACACAGGCGAGCCCTGATGCCTGGCAATGCGAAGCGAAGCGATTGAGACTGAGACTAAAGGAACTTTTGGAGATGTTCGCTGAGACTGTCGCTAGGTTGTCACGGTTGTCCTCAGCAGTTGAGGTGTAATTACTGTGTTGTATTGACTTAGCTCTTCGGCTAAGTCGGGAACTGCAGAAGAAGCTTCACGAATAACGAGAGCAATATTTCGCACTACAATAGCGTCGAATGATAATTATTTCAATTACAATTGATGTCAGACGCAATGAGAGCAGGCAGCATTGAAGCTCATGCAGATGGATAATGGCCGCCTGGAGATTACCAGGCCGCCGATTAGACCACCGGGGTTACCGAATACGATAACGTTAGCAATTCTGACAAATTGAATAGGCTGACTTACGTGTGTCCTTCATTCGATTGACGATGTGAAGCGTATTTGTGTTCCTGAACAGGAAATATCACGACAATTGAGAAGTGACCTTCTGTCAACCTTACGGATATGTACCTCGGCAAACGGACCCCACACCAGATCGCTCGGCCGGTAAGTGGAGTCGGAATGCGGGGAAGCACCTCCAAAACGCTCCAAATCCTCGGGGAAGTTCAGTGTTGTCCGTCATTACCAAGACAACCTAGCATGGGGGAAGCTCTGTGCGGAGGAGGTGCGGGAGGTGAATCCCGACATCGCTCCTCTTCAACCTCGCTCCCAAAGGCTTCACCTCTCATCTCGCTGGTTCATCTCACATCTCACCTGAGCCAATCCGTCCCATCCGATCTTGTAAGCCGTCTAGCACACACCACGTAGATCAGCGGTCTCTCATAAACGCCCACCATGACGCCTTCGCTCAGGGTCCTCCCAAACGTAAGTCCCGTCGCCCCCCTCTCTCTCTCACGAGCCTCATCTCAAACTCACATCAACTCAGGCCGCGACCCGCGCCGTCTCCCTCCTGCGCACAATCCAAGCCCATCCGCCATCATGCCCCTGCCACACCAACCCCGGCCATCACCACCACCACAACCCCCTAAACTTCACCCCGCGACCCCTCCGAACCGGCTCGCGTAACTTCGCCACACCCGTCGACGGTCCCCAGAAGGAATACGCCTTTGAGATGGCCGCCTCCTCGATCCGCTTCGGCCCCGGCTCGACGCAGGAGGTCGGCATGGACTTCGCCAACATGGGCGCCAAGCGCGTCGCCGTCGTCACCGACCCCACCGTCGACGGCCTCTTCGCCATGCAGCAGGTCCGCGAGGCCCTCGACCGCGAGGGCATCAACTACAAGGTCTACAACAAGACCCGCGTCGAGCCCAAGGACAGCTCCGTCCGCGACGCCATCGACTGGGCCCGCCCCTTCGCCCCGGACGCCTTCCTCGCCGTCGGCGGCGGCTCCGTCATCGACACCGCCAAGCTCATGAACCTCTACTCGTGCTACCCGGACGCCCCCTTCCTCGACTTCGTCAACGCGCCCCTCGGCAAGGGACGCCCCGTCGACAAGCCCCTGAAGCCCCTCATCGCGGTGCCCACCACGGCCGGCACCGGCTCCGAGACGACCGGGACGGCCATCTTCGACCTCGTCTCCAAGAGGGCCAAGACGGGCGTCGCGCACAGGAACATGAAGCCCACGCTCGGCATCTGCGACCCCCTCAACACCCGCACCATGCCCGCCGCCGTCAAGGCCGCCTCGGGCCTCGACGTGCTCTGCCACTCCCTCGAGTCCTGGACGGCGATCCCCTACAATGAGCGCGTGCCGCGTCCGAAGAACCCCATCCTCCGTCCCGCGTACCAGGGCGCGAACCCGATCAGTGACGTGTTCTCGTTCCACGCTCTGCGGGCTACGGTCAAGTACCTCCCCCGCGCCGTGCGGGACCCGGATGATTATGAGGCGCAGAGCGAGATGCTTCTCGCCGCGACGCTGGCCGGTGTCGGATTCGGTAACGCCGGAGTCCACCTTTGCCACGGTAAGTTTACCACACGATTTCGAATTCCGCGTCGGACCGCTAACACGCTCGTCAGGCATGTCCTACCCCATCTCCGGCCAGAACCCGGGCTACCAGCACGCGGGCTACAAGGTGGACTACCCCATCATCCCGCACGGCGTGTCCGTCGCCGTGACGGCCCCAGCGGTCTTCCGCTTCACCGGCGCCTCCAACCCGGAGCGCCACCTCCAGGCCGCTGAGGCCTTCGGCGTCGACGTCTCGCGCGTGCGCAAAGAGGATGCCGGCGAGGTCCTCGCCGACGCCTTGACCAAGTTCCTCGCGGATCTTGGAGACCAGCCTGCGGGTATCAAGGAGCTCGGTTTCGAAACGGAACACCTAGACGACCTTGTCGAGGGCACCATTCCGCAGGCTCGAGTTCTGATGCTGGCGCCTGGTTTGGAGACGGAGCTTCAGAAGGAGAGAGAGCAACTGAGGGGGTTGTTTGAAAACGCCTTGACGCATTGATCTTGATGAAGCGATGGTGGGCGTGAACATGTGGTTGTGAAGATAAATTGGATAGCTTGCGAGAGCTGATTTGTCATAGCATATAATCGAAGCATTTTTGGCGAGCACCCTGAAGACTGAAAGTTGGACGTCTAAGAACGAAGATACGAAAAGATCACGGATTCGGACGAAGATGGGGTCCAAAAGAGAAGGTTGAAGCCGTTTGATTTATTGCGTGACCCGCAGGCTTCTTGCATCGACTCGGTAAATAAAAGGCAGCAAAAGTATGTGTTGACGACGCCTCTGGCCCATGCTGATAAGCAGTAGGATGAAGATGAAAACGCAGAAACATTAAAAAAGAATCCAAACAAGCAGCGGCGACTGACTTGAGAGCCAACGAAGCCCCCCGATGTCACGCCATGAACCCCCTTGCGCCTTCCATTTTGATGAAGATATCCTCACCCTCGACTGTCCGTTATCCATTCACGCTTTCTTAAAGCCCTTCCCCCTCACCTCCTTGCCCTTGCCGACGACGTGATCGTACAGCTCCTGGGGCAAGACGTCCATGATGAGCCGGCGCACAAAGAGCACGTCGCGCATCATGTTCTCGTGCTGGGCGGCGGCCATGTGCTTCTCGGTGCGGAGCGCCATGTCGAGGACTCTATCCGAGGCTTCGTAGACTTGGATCAGCGTGATCCTGAACTCCTCGCGGTTCTCCCTCCAGGCGGCGCTCGCGGTCTCGTCGTCGGCCGGGAGGGACTCGATGTCGATGTCGATGCCCAGCAGTCCGAGGAGGGTGAACATGGCGTGCAGGCCGAGGATGAGGTTTCTTCTGCCAGTGGACGTTAGTGTCAGCTATTTGGTGCTGGGAGAGGACAGGGAGGACGAAATTCTTACGATGCTTTGTAAACTCGGTTGATGGCTTTCTCGATGTTCTTTTCCCGCTGTCGGAGCTCGGAGGGACCGCTGCCGTCTGCGTTCTCTGGCGAGGTCATCTTCGCGGCCTTTGATGTCATGGTCGATGGTCTTATTGGTTCGTAACGATGGTGTTGGTTGGGTGAAGCGGGTGTATTCACCTGGTACGAGATGACAGTAAGACGAGAAGGTAGACCTAGGTTTTGGGGGAAAGGCGAAATTTTCAGTGGTGTTAAATTGGTTTTGCACCAATGTGGAAGAAGAGAGGCTCGAAGAATCGTTTTTGTTTTATTCGAGAAGCACGTGGAAAAGGTTCGCTGCAGCTATTCGGCAGGAGCTTGTTGGCCTATTCCGTTTGCACCAAGGGAAGGAGCAAGCTGTCGCTTTACTTCACCTTCTATGCCAGCGATCTTACGGCCTTCGATATTTGTCCTGATTCAAAAACCCACAATGTTTGATTTTTAATGTTTATAACTCGATCAAATTAGTCTGGTATTCAGAGTAAGAAGCAAGTCTGAACCGGTTGATTCTCATGTCCTTTCAAGGATCGAGCCCTCTAATCCGATGGAGATATGTATGATTTCCAGCTGTGCGGAATTCATATTGATATTCAACAAACCCAATTGAACAGCGGGCTCATTTCATGCTGCCAACATCTTAGCTACGTCAGATGTTGATAGTAGACAACGATAGTTACATACCTAGTAGGCACAGACGTAACCGTGCAAGCGCACAGTGTGACACCGCTCAAGCCACTGCAAAATGCCCCTCCAAGAATCCCCCACGCAACATGTCTCTGCCCCTCGATTCAGGGCGGTGAGTCAGGGCAATTGTCTTTGACTCAGTGCCTTTGTGACTACCCCGCTGCAGCCAATGCAAGTCGCTGCCCCTCGTTAAACATTTTGACAGGGTAAAACTTCGATCGCGAGACGCCAGAGGATTTTTTGTGAGTCAAAACCCGACGGATGACTCTGGGGAACTCAGAGCACCAAAACAGCACTTAAAGACATCTTCGGGATCGTTTCCAACTAACGAGGGAAATTTTGTGTACAGCAAACCCCCGCAATCGCAATCATGGCCGACTCCAGCGCTCCCGAACCCCCCACCGAGCAGGTCAAGGACCTCAAGGTCGAGGAGCAGACCGCCAAGCTCCTGCTCGACGATGTCACCGGCGAGATGATCTCCAAGACGGAGCTCAAGAAGCGCCAGAAGGCCCGTCAGAGGGAGGCCGAGAAGGCCAAGAAGGCCGCCGCCGCCCCTCCCAAGCCCGCCGCCAAGAAGGGCAACGCCGAGGTCGACGAGAAGAACCTGGACCCCAGCCAATACTTTGAGAACCGATCTCGTACCATCAACAAGTGTGTCTCCGTTGCGGCGTCTTGAGCGTGGGAATATGGACTGATTGCGCGGAATAGGCTGCGCGAGACCAAGGTCCCCAACCCCTACCCCCACAAGTTCCACGGTAAGACAGACCTCTGGTGACAGTTCTGCGGACGGACCTGACACGAGTATAGTCGACTACGATCTGCGCAAGTTCGTCAACGACTTCGGACACCTCAAGTCCGGCGAGACCGACAAGACCAAGGTCCTCCGCGTCGGTGCCCGTATCTACAACAAGCGCGCCTCCGGCAACAAGCTCTTCTTCTATGATATCCGCGCCGAGGGCGTCAAGGTCCAGGTCATGGCCCAGGCGCAGGAGGTTGCCGAGGGCAGCCCGTCCTTCGAGGACCAGCACCTGCACCTCCGCCGAGGCAAGCATTGGATCTGCGATTGGGAAGGACTGCAAGCTGACCGCGCGTAGGTGACGTTGTCGGTGTCATTGGTTACCCCGGAAGGTATGTGTCGCGTGACCCTCGCAGACGACGGCGCAATGCTAAACGTCAACAGGACAGCGCCCAAGTCTAAGATCGAGAAGGGCGAGGAGGGTGAGCTCTCCATCTTCGCGACCGAGTTCGTTCTCCTCACCCCCTGCCTGCACACCCTCCCCGACGAATACTACGGCTTCAAGGACCACGAGGAGCGCCACCGCAAGCGCTACCTCGATCTCATCATGAACGAGAAGAGCCGTCAAATCCTCATCTCCAGATCCAAGATCGTCACCTACATCAGACGCTACTTCGACGACAGGGTAGGCCACTTCGCAACCGCAGCGAAACATCCCACACTAACACCACCCAGGATTTCGTCGAAGTCGAGACCCCCATGATGGGTCCCATCGCCGGTGGCGCCACGGCCAAGCCCTTCGTCACCCACCACAACGACCTCGACATGCAGATGTTCATGAGAATAGCTCCCGAGCTCTACCTGAAGGAGCTCGTCGTCGGCGGCCTCCACCGCGTCTACGAGCTCGGCCGCCAGTTCCGCAACGAGGGCATCGACCTCACCCACAACCCCGAGTTCACCACCTGCGAGTTCTACCAGGCGTTCGCCGACGTCTACGACATGATGGACATGACCGAGGAGCTCGTCTCCGGCCTCGTCAAGCACCTCACCGGCGGCTACAAGACCCAGTTCCACACCCAGCACGGCGAGGTCTACGAGGTTAACTGGGAGCGCCCCTGGAAGCGCTTCGAGATGATCCCCGAGCTCGAGAAGGCCACCGGCGAGAAGTTCCCCCCGGCCGACCAGCTCCACACCGCCGAGACCAACGAGTTCCTCCAGAAGGTCCTCAAGAAGATGAAGCTCGAGTGCTCGCCGCCCCTCACCAACGCCCGCATGATCGACAAGCTCGTCGGCGAATACATCGAAGAGCAGTGCGTGAACCCCTGCTTCATCTTCGGCCACCCGCAGGTCATGTCGCCCCTCGCCAAGTACCACAGGGACATCCCCGGCCTCTGCGAGCGCTTCGAGGCCTTCGTGTGCAAGAAGGAGATCGCCAACGCCTACACCGAGTTGAACGACCCCTTCGACCAGAGACTCCGCTTCGAGGAGCAGGCCCGCCAGAAGGACCAGGGCGACGACGAGGCGCAGCTGATTGACGAGAACTTCTGCATGTCTCTCGAGTACGGTCTGCCTCCCACCGGAGGATGGGTAAGTTTGAGGTTCCTGCCACGAGCAAAGCAACGCCCCATGGAAGCTAACACGTTCGCAGGGTATGGGTATCGACAGAATGGTCATGTTCTTGACGGACAACTACAGCATCCGCGAGGTCCTCGCCTTCCCCTTCATGAAGGAGGAGAAGCAGGCGGAGAAGAAGGCCTCCGCGGCGGAGGTCGTCGGCGTCAAGCCCGTCCCCGAAGAGGGCATCGCCCACAAATAGATGACGACTGACTAGATGAAATGGGATTGACATGTCAAGAGACGAATCGGCTTTTGTTTTGATTGTCTACTCGCGAGGGCGCGCAAAGGCGTCCCCCCAATAAAAGATATCCGGCAGACATTCCATAGTCTAGAGTTGAGCTTCTATTTTCAATAAACCAAAAAAAAGGGGATGATGATAGACAGGATATTCGAAGACCAAAACCTCAAAGGGGCGGTCGTTTTTTCCGTCCGATGCGTGTTGCTACAGAGTGTTATACATATCTACTTTTTGTGTGTGTCATGTGCCATAATGCAATATTTGCTGCCATAATGCAGTTTAACGCAAGTAATCATATACCGGAAGAATTCTCAGGGAACGGTCAGTGCAGCTCTTAAGGCTTGATGTTCATCGCCTTGATCCGCTTCTGGATCAGGGCGAGCGTGGACTTGGGCACGCGCAGGCGGTGACCGAGGACCAGGGCGCCGGTAAGCAGGGCGAGGGCGCCGGCCTGGTGGGTGGCGGCCAGGTGGGTGGGGACGATGTAGATGAGGGTGCTGATGCCGAGGGCGGCCTGCAGGAGGACGAGGTGGACGGTGCCGAGGACGCCCTTCTTGACGTCCCTGGGGAGGGCGGCGGCGACGCGGCGGGTGCGGGAGTAGGCGAAGAGGGAGAGGATGGCGGTGAGGGTGGTCATGGCGAGGATGCGGTGGTCGAGCTGGACGGTGCTGGGGTTCTCGAGCATGTTGCGCCACCAGAGGTCGGAGCCGTCGTCCTTGCGGGAGTAGAACTTGTCCCAGAGCTCCTTGGCGGGCGGGGTGAGGCCGAGGCCCATGTAGGGGAACTCGTTGTAGATGAGGCCGGCGTCGAGGCCGGCGACGAGGGCGCCGGACATGGCGGTGGTGAAGACGAGGGCGACGAGGGCGAAGGAGAGGCGGCGGAAGGTGCGGATGGCCGGGTTCTGCAGGGCGGCGAGGGCCTTGTGGGCGGCGACGGGGTCGGCGAGGAGGCGGCGGGTGCGCAGGATGGAGAGGGCCGAGACGAGCATCCACGAGTAGCAGACGAAGGCGGTGGCCAGGTGGGCGGTCAGGCGGTACTGGGAGACGCGGGGGTGGGAGCCGGGGGCGAAGAGGTCGTCCTTGAGGCCGGACTTGACCATCCACCAGCCGATGAAGCCCTGGAAGCCGATGAGGGCGGAGATGCCGGCGAGGTTGAGGGCCATCTTGGGGGTGACGCGGCGGCGGGCGACGAAGTAGATTGTGGGGAGGACGAAGGACATGCCGATGAAGCGGCCCCAGAGGCGGTGGGACCACTCCATGAAGTAGATCTTCTTGAACTCGTCCATGGTCATGTGCGGGTTGAGGAGCTTGAACTCGGGGGAGGCGCGGTACTTTTCGAACTCGGATTCCCAGTCTTCTTCGTTGCGCGGGGGCATGGAGCCGGTTACGGGACGCCATTCGGTGATGCTCAATCTGTTGTGTTCGTAAGTTAGCCGAGTTTCGAACAGATTGTGAAGGCTAATTGAGTAAAGAATGAGGGGGCCATACCCAGATTCAGTTAACCGTGTGAGGCCGCCCCAGACGACAATACCAAAGACGCTGACGGCGGAACCGAGGAGCCAATATGCGACAGACTTGGAATTCGTCTCGGGCCAGGCGCTCTTCTTGGTGTTGTCCTTGGTCGTGGCCTCGGCGGCCTGCTGGGCGATCGTGGAGGAGGAGGTCTTATCGGCGGCAACGACGTTGCTGTTGAAGCTCAGCGGCGCCTTGGTCTGGTTGAAGCATCTGACCTGCTGGCCAGTCGTCTGCTGGGATCGTACGATGTCGAGGATTCGGGAGGAGGAGCGCCATTGGGGCTGCTGGCGCTGGCATTGTCGGCATACAAAGAGCGAGGGCGAGGCGCGGACGGCCAGCCTTCGCAGTCCCGGTGCGAAAGACGCCATGGTATGCGCGCGGGGTGGTGGTGGGCGACCGTTTGACGCAGAGGAAGATGGAGATGTCCGGTCAGTGAAATAAATTCGGGGATGGGAAATCGAGGGCGGCTTAGTGGTTCGTTAGAAGCTCCGGCACCCTTCGGCTGGAGGTGGGACCACTTTTTCGGACTGGTGTCATAGATCCCCTTGAAGAAGAGCGGTGCTCGGACCATCAGAGACCCCTGTTGGACGGGCGTGGTGTGTTCGCCCCGCTGTAAATTTCTTGTTCACCGCTTCCCGCCCACCACGGCAGAATTCAGAAAAAGTTCCAATCCGCCAGTCCGTGCGTCTGCGCATGCTGTGTGTGTGTGCGGGTGGGAATCGAGAACTCGTCTGGAAAAAAATCGCCGTCGTAACACACGAGCGACCGTTAAACACACAATCCACACCCCAAAGTCTTCGACACGATGCCCGGAAGACAATCCCACGGGCGCACCCTCCTGGCGTCGAAGCCGCAAGCCAAGACCTTCCGCAAGTCAAAAGCAAAGGCCCAGGCCAAGGCCCTCGACGCCTTCACGATCGCCTCCGAGCAGTTCCCGACCAAGCAGAAGCTCACCCCTCGGTTCCGCGAGATCGAGGGCCAGAAGGAGTCCGGGAAGAAGCACAGGCGCGACGAGGACGACGACGACGAAGAGGATGACGAGGACGGGGACGACGACGACGATGAGCAGCCACGGCGGAAGAAGGCGAAGCCTTCATCTGGCGGCGGCGACGACGAGTCCGAGTATGGCAGCGACAGCGACGGCAACGAGTGGCACTACGGCGTCAACGACGACGAGGACTCGGAGCTGGACAGTGACGAGGCGTTTGGCGACAGCGACGAGGAGGATTTCCAGGGGTATTCTTTCAGAGGTAGCAAGGCTGCCAAGAACGAGGTTCGTGCGGGCTCGAGGCTTTCCTCCGACGGGTTTTCCGACCCTGTACGCACTGGGCTAACATGTCACGGCAGGAGGACGACTCGGAAGAAGAAGACGACGACGAATCGCTAGGCGAGGACGCCATCGACCTGGCGCAGGCCCTGGACGAGTACGAGTCCGACGAGTCCATGCAGGACCAAGAGGGCTCCGGGTCCGAGGACTCCGACTCGGAAGCGGAAGATAGCCCGCCGTCGTCCGACTCGGAGGACGAAGACGACGAGGAGGCGGACCCGTCCAAGCTGGGCGCGCTGCAAAAGTTCATCACCAGCTACGGCGGCGACGAGGACGACGAGGCGCCGACCAAGCAGAAGCAGAAGATCAGCTTCAAGGACCTCGGTCTCTCGGGCGTCAAGGACGCGCAGATGCGCAAGTCGGTCAAGCTCATGGCCAAAGAAGACAAACAGACCGGTAGCAGCGCCGGCAAGAAGCTCGAGGTGCCCCTGGCGCGACGGCAGCAGGACAAGCTCGCGCGTGCGGCGGCGTACGAAAAGGCCAACGAGACCATCGGCCGGTGGCAGGACACGGTCAAGCACAACCGGCGCGCGGAGCACCTCGTGTTCCCGCTCCCGCAGAACGCGGCGGACGAGGGCCTCGACAACCGCGAGCTGCAGGCCATGAACCCCAAGAACGCCGGCACGGAGCTGGAGCAGACCATCATGTCCATCATGCAGCAGAGCGGGCTGGGGATGAACAAGCACGAGGAGAACCGGATGCGCAAGGAGGAGGCGGAGGAGGGCATGTCCAAGGAGGCGCTGCAGGACCTCGTCAACCAGCGGCGGCGGGAGCGGGAGCTCAGCTCGCGCGAGGCCAAGAGGGCGGCGCGCATCAAGAAGATCAAGAGCAAGGCGTACCACCGGGTCCACCGCAAGGAGAGGGAGCGGGAGGAGGCGAAGCTGCACGAGGCCATGGCGGAGAACGGCGAGATCGACTCCGAGGCGGAGCGCGAGGCCGCGGACCGCGCGAGGGCGCTCGAGAGGGTCGGCGCCAAGCACAGGGACTCCAAGTGGGCGAAGCTCGGGGGCTCCAACAAGCGCGCCGTCTGGGACGACGAGTACCGCGCCGGGCTGCACGACATGGCGCGCCGCGAGGAGGAGCTGCGCCAGCGCAAGCTGGGCCGCGCCGGCCACTCGGGCTCGGAAGACGAGGACGAGGAGGAGGCGTCGTCCTCGGACGACGGCGGCGACGGGAGCGACGAGGAGGCGCACGAGAGGCGCAAGCTGCTCAAGCAGCTCAAGCGCGTCGAGGACGCCGAGGACGACGGGCCCGCGTCGAAGCTGATGCAGATGAAGTTCATGCAAAAGGCCGAGGCGCAGCAGAAGAAGGCCAACGACGAGCTCATCGCACAGATCCGTCGGGACATCGCGTCGGACGGGGAGGGCAGCGAGGGCGAGGAGGAGGTGACGGAGGTGGGACGCAAGAAGTTCGGCGGCGCCCTGAAGCCCGCCATCTCCGCGCCCGCGCTGTCGCAGGCGAAGAAGCAGAAGAAGAGCAAGAAGGCCGACGATGAAGACGAAGAAGATGAAGTGCCCGACAACAGCGCGGTGAACGCGGGCTACTCCATCACGGCCGAGGCGCCCGCCACGGGCTCCGCGTGGTCGTCCGGCCCGCGCAAGAAGTCGTCCAAGGGGCACTCACAACCCGGCGCGCGCGTCGCGGACCTGGACAACTCGCAAGCCATGACAGCCGCACCCGCCGCCAAACCCAAGTCTCGATCAAAGACAGCCACAGCAGCAGCCGACTCCGACGCAGACGCGGACTCGGAAGAAGACCCCGACGTGCACCTCCCGCTCGCGATCCGCGACATCGCGCAGATGGACAAGGCGTTCGCGGGCGACGACGTGGTTGTCGACTTCGCCCGCGAAAAGGCCGAGATCGAGACGGCGGACGACGACAAGGTGGTCGACAACACGCTTCCCGGGTGGGGCGGCTGGGTCGGCGAGGGGGTGAGCGCGCGGGAGAAGAAGAGGCAGCAGGGGCGGTTCGTGACCAAGGTGGAGGGCGTGAAGAAGGCGAACCGCAAGGACGCCAAGCTGGACAAGGTCATCATCAGCGAGAGGCGCGTCAAGAAGGTCAGTCATTCCATCTTTCATACGTCTGTATCCACGCACACAGATCTGCTAACTCGGTCATCGCAGAACGACAAGTACCTCGCCTCGCAGCTCCCGCATCCGTTCGAGTCCAAGGCGCAGTACGAGCGCTCGCTGCGTCTGCCGCTGGGCCCGGAGTGGGTTACCAAGGAGTCGTTCCAGGACTCGATCAAGCCGCGTATCCTCAAGAAGCAGGGCATCATCGCGCCCATGTCGAGGCCGACTATGTGAGAGACGATGTCATGAAGGACTATGTTGCGAGAGACGAAGGAGTGGAAGGGAGGTTACGTCAAAGTTTGTTCGGATATCTGGACGGCATCATCACAGCACATGGGGCACAAAAGCATTGCTGCATGTTGAATACATCTACTTTTTTATTGCGTATAGACGTAGAGACCTCACTGCATCCGCGTAAAAGCGGCACTCGCAGATACCACCGAGGCTATCCAAAAGTTTTACTGTCATCCAGAAAGGATTTCTCTTCGTTGCGATCAAGAACTAGCAATTACGGACCTCGCGAACCTGTTTTTTTCTTCTTTGTACCTTTGCAAAACACCAATTTCTCCGTTTCTCAAAGGAATCTGGGATACCGCCCTCCGACCTTGGAAACCGCCCCGTTTGAAGTATAGTACAGTTCTGTCATAGACACACCAAGGAAATATGCACACAAGGGATTTCGTTTCTGACAACGATTGTCTGTCGAATGAAGGACCTCATCGTCTCTGATAAGGCCTCTGTTCGATGATACTCTGAGTATGAAAAGCCAGATAAGCGCGACAAGCGCTTTTGGGTATATTTAGCCACCTTCTCTCGGCTTGAATGTCCGACGTCTCAGTCTGAGAAGAGGCCTCTGATGAATTTGTAGTGTATAACATCTTCTTCCTCGCTCAACCCATGACTGTGTTAAAAGCCTTGTCCAGAGCGTCGCTAGGGCTGACGTAGAAGGCCAATGCGATGATGATGTAGAGGCCGAGCAACATGGCTCCTTCCAGATAGTTGGACTTGCCGTCCTGCACGGTGTACGTAACAACCAACACGGAGAATGCGAAGGCGACGGTTTCGAAAGTCTCGAAGCGAAGAGTCATGGGCTGGTCGAGGACAGCCCATCCGAGAACGACAAGGAAAGGGGTGACAAGAAGAGCGATTTGGATGCTAGAGCCGATAGCAACACCCATGGCGAGGTCCATCTTGTTGCGGATGGCAACGACCACTGCGGTGACGTGCTCTGCCGCATTGCCGACAATGGGAATGAGAATCAAACCGATGAAGTTCTTGCTGATGTGCGCGGTCTCGACGAGAGGGTCGATGCTTCCAACGAGGTAGTCGGCGCAGATGGCAACCAACACAGTGGTGACAACGAGGACAATGCCGGCAGCAATAGGTCCCATGACAGGCTCCTCGGCCTCCTCCTCGTTGTGGTGCTGAGTCTCGGCGTCGAAAAGGTTGGGGTGGGTGCGGAGCTGGAACCAAAGGTACATAACGTACAGCAGCAGAAGGATGATGGCAGTGCCGCGGGAAAGCACCAAAATGCTATGTTCCTTATCCTCCGAGTCGGCCTTGGAGAGCGCTGAGTAGAGCTAGAGCGATGTTAGTCAGGGAGCGGGGTACATGTGCAGACCAGTAGAAGCTTACCGTAGCAGGGATGACGAGCGATGCCGACGACAGGGTCATCAGCGAGCAAGTGGTCTGCGCCGTAGCGGAGGCGAAGCTCTGTTCCATGCCCTGGCCCGTAACTCTGTCGCGCATGTTGACAATGCCGCCGAAGAAGAAGCACATGCCCATGACCAAGAGCAAGTTGGACAGAATCGAACCCAGCATGGACGATTGGACAACCTGAATTTGTCCATCCCTCAAGGCAACTATGCTGACGATAAGTTCGACGGCGTTACCAAAAGTGGCGTTCAGCAGTCCTCCCAGCGCTTCTCCCAACTTCATCGAGATCTGTTCGGTCGCGAAGGACAAGACGGCGGCAAGTGGAATGATGGCGAAGAAGTTGATTGTGAAGACAGCTGTCGGGCTCCAGTTGGCCTCGCCGGCGATGATGCCGATAGGCACCATGACAAGAAGAAAGTTGACATAGTCTGTGGTGAGGCACTGCTGTTAGCTGGCTGGCGCGCGACGAGTTGCGAGGACCGATATGCGACTTACTGCTGAGGAGGGTAACCTTAGCGACGTGCCAGGTATGAGAAGAATACCTCACGGCGACGTTGTCACTGTCGATACCCGGAGTATGCCTCGTGTCGAAAAGGAACTTGAGGGTCTTATTGCCGTGGTGCTGGTCGTCGACAAGGCCGTTGCCGTTGCCGTTGTGGTCGTGGTGACCGGAATGGTTGCCGTTGAGAAGAGGCGACTGCTCGTCTACCTCGCCATCGCGGCCATTGGGCTTGTTGGTGCTGCCCCAAGAGCGAACCTGTTCGCGAAAATGTCTGTTGGCTGAGTCGTCCGACATGGCGCCGCCGTCATATTAGTCAAGCCCAGACCACCAGAAAAAAATAGCAGTATGTGCCGTCGTCGCAGCAGGTGTCGAAAGCAGTGTAAGGCAGTATACGAGGTGAGGCAGCCGGCGGACGAGTGAGAAGCGAAAATAGAAGAAAAGGGCAAGGCAAGGAATGACGATCCGCGCGGGATAAGGCGACCAGATAGATGTGCGCCGGTTCCGTTTGGAATGGGTGGGAGGAAGAAGAGAAGGAGCCCGGTGACGGGGAGGTTGCGATGTGTTGTGGCTTGGAGGGAGAAGGAAATGTTGACGGCGTGGGAAACTGCGCCCAGTACTGGACTGCTGCCAAGACAGATGGTAGGTACTGTAGTGCAAATACCTAGGTAAGGTAGGTACGGTAGGGGATACTGGAGGGACAAGGGTGCGACAAGATGGGGCTTGCTGGGACCAGCGGTGATGGACGGGTAACGGGTCGGGGAAAAAGGAAGTGAGAATGGAAATGGAAGAAGTCGAGACAAGGCGACAGCGTAAGGTAGATGGTGCAGCAAAGTAAGTACCTTGCGGTGATTAAAGTGAACGCACAGTAGGGTACCCAAACCAACGAAAAGTGAAGTCTCTTCAACAGAAAACGGGTATGGTAAAGCAGGCGAGGTACTTACAAACCATGATGTACCAGACAACTGTATCCGTACGGCTAAAAGGTACTGATCGTTGGTCGTCTCGTCACGACGGACCGGAGAGATAGATTTCTGGGAGGGAGCCCTGCACCTGTCTGCCGCCCGACGGCAAGGGAGTGGGGTAAAGGACGGTCGGTCAAGTCGAGCGTGATCCAATAGAGGGTGCGCAAAAAGGAGCACGTTGGATGCGCCAAGTCGAAGGTCGCAAGGTACTGAGGGTCTGTCTGGTATCAGAGGGTTGAATGGTGGTGGTCCAAGTGGGCGGTAGGATGACCTCTGCCTCCGAGATCGATGCAGCAGTATCCGTACAGATAGAGCGGCTGCAGTTTGCTGTGAAGGCGTGGGTCACGATCGACTCGAGCGTGTTTTCGGCTTGCGTCTTGCGTCTTGGGCCGTATCGAGGGATGGTGTGCGAGCGCAGGGCCAGCAGGCAGCCTTTGCGTAGGTAGATCAACGAGGTGAATCGAGTCAAAGAGATTCAAGATAATGGATACAAGAAGCGTGTTCCAGTTCCAGATTCCAGATGCAGTTGCGGTTCCAGTTCGAATTGGTCCAGTTGTCCAATCTTCAGGCGATGGGCAAACAGCAACTCCAAAATGGGTGGGTGGTAGGACAAAACTGATGGCAGTTGCAGGAAAAAGAAGAACACAGCCCCCTTTTTCTTGTCAGGTCAATATGGGGAACGTGGGACGGGATGCGGTCAAAGGTAGGACGAAACAGCATTCGAGGTACTCAGTAATCTTGGAAAAGCTTCAGTGTACAAAGCATTTGGACACACACCAGACATCAGACATCAGACATCAGACGCTGGGAATGAGAGAATGGATGGTCCAGTGTCCATTGAGGGAGGTATGGGTCTCAGGGAGGCAGCCCATGGACCATGCTGCTAAATCCTGATGGGTGATGGGTGATCCCACCTCATGCAGGCGCATGCGGGTGCGGATGCGGGCACTTGTACGCCTAACTGCTTCAAGCTTGCACAAGTCTTGTCCACCATGACCGCATTGGATACTCTCGTTACCACAGAGGCGCAACTGCTAGGCTAAAGCAAGTTGAAAAGCTTCAGAGGAACCGTGCGATATCTCCTTCCAAACGTCATACAGCGGACTAGCCAGTAACGAACAGGTTTCAGCAAGGGCGTGGAGTGAGGTCGGCGGCACCCAATGGGACGTGACTGATGATGCCAAGCGTGGCTGTGTTGTCTGGTGTTGCTTCTCATTTTCTCCGCTGTTTCCTGCGAGAGTCCCGTCTTCTCCTAACTCTCCTAACGCCTTCCAAACACGCACCCACTTTCCTCACTTTATCCGGCGCGATTCGAGCTTTCCTCCCACATTTCCGCTGGGAAGGCGAGATGTTGGCAGCGGACAGCTGCCAGCTGTTGTAAGCTGGCGGGCAGTGGTACGTACTTTAGCTCTCCCAGAAATTGTTGGCGGCCATGTTTATTCCGTCATTGTTGGCCTCCAGTCTCGACTGCCTCTTCACAATCTCCTTAAGGTACCTACGTAATCAGCGTAGCTTCAAGTTCCAACCTCTGAAAAATACACCATCCGTTTGCATGCAACGAGGCTCACAAGCATTCATCCGCAAAGCATATTCGCCCTCCCGAAGCCAATTTTCACATACCCGCCACCCATTACCGCAGCAACCTGACATTGACAAACCTTCAAGTCAAAAATGAACAAGTTCAGGCTTGGCTGACAGTCCCTTTCCACATTTTTCGTCTCGGCACGAGTCCGTCCCACTGCCATGCACAGGGAAATCGTCCTGAACTTCGGCTCAGGGGACCGGACGATTTGCGACAAACAGCTCCAGCTTTAGGGAACGAAGAGAGAAAAATAGCACTCCAACCTCTTCAACCTCAAACAAGGACAGCTCCTGGTCCCGTCTGAAGTTTGACTTTTGGGTGCGAGTCTGCAACCACAACGGTACGTACCTTATCTTGAGGCATCTCTAACAATCCTTCAGATCCAATTCACAGGGCAAACAAGCTCCAGGCTGTCCTCCCTGCCAATGATGCTTTCGGTTGCCCTGCGAAACGCCCTGCCTTCCTGCTGGGGGTCGGGTTCCACCAATCGTCCACTCGCGGTTAGCCCCTGCACCGATCTCCGGACCCCCAACCCGACAGCATCGCAGAAAGAGGCACGGAGACAGCCCTGACCCGGCGCGGACTTCACGAAAGGCCCGCTCTGGACCCTTATCGCCTTATCGATAAAAGCTTCTACTTCGACTTCCGCCTCACCAAGCCCAACCGAACTCAAAAGCTCTCAAAACCTAGCCACAGTCTTGGCTCTTCGACCGCAGTTTATTCTTGGCTCATCATCCCAAATTGATGCCCAGAAGGCGCACAGCTGCTCACGTTGGGCGTTGAAATCTTCGCATGAAGGTCTGCTCTGCCTTACCTCTCGAACGCGCCTGATCTGATGATCCAACACGATTGCCTCAACTCTGAAATGCGGGGGCCGGCACGGGATTGCGTCTCCGATTCATTTTGCACCCGGCTCCCGAGTCATCCATCACACAATAGCACTTCATGCGCGCGCGCTCGAGATGCAGACATCGTGCGCTGGCAATTGCACAGCCACCATCGTTCCGGTCTGCAATTCGCCCACCCCCACTGACCTCCGGCCACGTCCACGCTTCCGCCTGGCCCTGCTCACGTCGAGGACGGCAAGTACGGAACACTGCGTCGGGTGCTTCGTGAGATGCACGCGGCTTTCAGCACTCACCAATTCCTCCTTCACCTAAGCTGAGGCAGCGAGAAGAGATGAGCTGCCAAGGAGGGCTTGGTACGACAGCAGCAACGAGAGGCCACCAAGGTACCCTGCGGCGATTTTTCGGGTGAGATCAGTTTGGTGTAAGCTGAGGTCTTGCAGATTGAATTCTGCAAAGCTACCTTACAGTCGCAACTCACGATGCCACTTCTGCGCTTCTACCAGTCGCGTGGCCCTAACGCGCACGAACTCGGAACGATTCGTCTCATGTTGAGACCATCTCCAGCGTGTCATCTCGAGTGTCTCCTCGGCTGAAATTCGCGAGGGCCTGAGAGGCATCGTACCTGAGCCGATGGTGCCGTCTTCCGGCATAGGCCACACCACCACGTCCAAACAGCAACACCGCGGAAGCTTTCAGGAGACGGCGTTCCCTCAGCCGTTCGTCAATGCATCTCATACGAATGGCCTCAGAGGGCTGCAGAGCCTCACCCGTTCCTGACCCCAAACTTTGCCCTGAATTTTAGCTGTTCAGCTGCACTTGTCAACAGCCTGACAGCTCAACATGAGCCTACCCTGACAACGAACCCGGTCTATAACGTCTCGAGATATAATTCGGAATGCTCAGCCGCAACCGACCGCATACCTCAACAGAGAGACAATTGTTTCAAGAAACCGATGCCAACTGACGGACCCCGGATTCCGGCATCCGGCAACGGTTCAGTGCCAATGCGCCATGAAAGTGCGAGTGTACAGTGCTGATATACGGTGCGTATCAACGAAAGCTCACCGTGTTTGCGCCTCCGGACGACACAACCCCTCCACAAATCACCGTCGACACCAAGATCTTGCACATCAATCTGCCAACCCCCAAGAACCTGATCAAATACGACAGAAACCGCAAATTCAAGGCCAGCCTGATTGTCGCCAGCAGTTACAATAAGCATTGTGGCAAAAAAGCTTAGCCTTTTCGGCCCCCAAAAAATCGGCTGCGGAGAGAAACCGGGGGGCCGTGTTACGTGGATGGGTGACGCGTCATCAAGCCCCCCTGAAGAAATGTGCCCTCCTCTCTCCTCCCCTTCGAAATTTCCCATCCGTTTTCTCCCCCCCGCGGAACTCCCATACCAACAGGGGCGTGCAGATGCAAACGGACCTTGACGCTCACCCCCCGAGCTACAACTAGCTAGCTACGCAGCCAACGGCCTAGCTATCCAGAGATTCGGGATCCAAATCTGAGGGCGAACGAGCGACGCAGGGTCTTGCGCCGGGGGAAACCAACATCAGAGAACCAGAGTCTTGGAACCTCGAGCCTAGCAGCCGTTGGCTGCCACTTGCACTGCTCACATCGGATTTCTTACATGAACAACTCCTACACAGCGGTTGTGCATATTCATGTGTACCAACTAACATTATGAGGGTTTCTTCATAATGGGCATATGCCGGTGCAGTCAAGGACAGATTCTTGGCTCCGTCACGGCATCAGTCCCGGCTTGGCTCGCATGGCACATCGACCGTGAACCTTTCAGCCACGGAACCGCCCAGCGGCGTCGCTCCGTAGTATGAGATGATGGTGACGTTCCAGTTTTACGCCGTGACGTCCCTTAAAAGGGCAGAAGACACCCGCCTTTTCGTGAACACTATGCAGCTGCAGGCGAAGGTTTCTTATACCCAAGCCGTGGGCGGCGGGTTGGGTGTTGACGATGATGGCGAACGTCCTCGTGGGTCTTCCGTGAGAGAAACACCCGACGGGGAAGAGCTCATATTGGGCGTCCCATTCGACTACGTAGACTGGTGTCTTCAAAGCCGGTCATCAGAAAAGGGCTGCCCACAGCCCGCTTCAACAAGCTCACGATGGGGTAAACCACTGGGCGGATGCCATCCATCCGTCTCCGCAATTCTGTCGTGCTGGCAGCCGGCACCCGGAGCCGTTGCAAAGTCGTCGGGGGCAGAGTGGCATCTGCGTGATCCAGGAACGTCCAGAGGCGGGCGCAGTGTTTGAAGACGAGTGGTGGCCGTTGTCGTTTGCTTGAATTGCTGACTACGGGTATTACTATTGCTGTCATGCCACCTCATGTGAAGGTAATCCGAGAGTAAACCCAGGGACGGTAATATCAGGCAGTGAAAGCAATGCCAGTGAGTGCGTGCCTGCAGTAATCGCAATTTAACATCGTGGTCGTCATCTCAGTAGGACGACGAACAAGATGACTAGTAGAAGACGCATCGAACAAGGTCGTACAATGCCTAGATCCAAACAGTAGGCTCACTTAACGAGCACTTTAGATGAGAAGACGGGCAGCCTTTGAGAAGGTTCATGTGCGAGTGCATATATCACGGAAGTCAAGATTGAAGACGTAAAGGACCAAAACAGAAGCTCTCATTCTCGATTCATAAGGATGCTGTCTAGACGTGTTCTCGTATCAATGTTTTTTATCGTTTTCGTCGTTAGGAAATAGTAGTCCATCTCTTCGTGGTCGTGTCCATGCTAGTCGTCAACAATGCTGCGTCCTCGTAGTCGTGTTCGTTCTGTCATTACTCGTGCAGAAAAGAATGAAAAATGCCACCCTCAAAAGTCGTGTCTCGTTCGGGGTCGTTACTTGCAATCTGAAAGTCTCGTCATCTTATGAGGGTTTATAGGCCGCCCATTGCTGGCAAACAATGTCAGTAACCAGTCACTCTCTGGATCGACGTCGAGATCAACTTACCGGCGGCATAAGTCAGGTACCACGTCAAGCTGGCACCTCCGTCGATCCAGCCGGGATCAAAGTTGGGGCTGTTGAAAAAGTCGAACGCGGTCCTACTATCGATCGTCGCCAGGTTTCCATACAGAATCCCCCTCCAACCGCCGACGATGCTATCGACGCGGCCGTTGCTAAAGTACACGTCCCACTCTTCCCTGACGAAATCTGGGGTGCGGATGAAGGGCGAAGGGGCAAGAAGGGGGACCATGTGGATGCCCTGGATGTACTCGATATTAGCGCCGAAGAAGGTCGTGTGGTCGACTTTGTTCTCAAACAGGATGCCGGCCACCTTGTTTCCGATAAACTGGGGTGGCTGAACGGCATTGTCGCTCTTGTAGAGGTAGTAGGACTGAAGGGCGCGGGCGATGATGGTAAGCTGGAGGTTGCCACGCATGGCCATCTTCGAGTCTCCCGATACTTCTCCCCACATCTTGATGGCATAGGCGGCCATCATGTCCTCGGAACTCGATTCCTGGTTCTGCTCGGGTGTTAACACTGACCAGCGGCAGTGAACAGACTCAACTGACCTTGCCATCAAAAGAAGCGTACAGTCCATGTGCCCAGCTGTGCCCGTGGTACCAGTCGAACGAACGCCAAGTTGGGAAGTATGTGTCCTTGGTGCTCGGGTTGGCGAAATCACGGATCAGGGCATTTACATAGTCTTTGTTCTCCTGCATCCAGGCTGGATCCAGGTGAGCAATGGCGGCAGCCGCAAGAATGTGATAGCCGTAGTGGAAGTGGTGATCGTTGTAATTGGTATTGCCAAAGTCGGCGCCGTCGTTGCCCGTGACGTAGGTTGCCGAAGACACGATTCCGCCCCAAGCGCCTGCATTACGCGTTTGTATCTGGTCTCATGAGAACGGGGGATTCAAAACTTACTTTCGTACAAAAGGGGGAACTTCTGCTTATTGGTCGCGAACCTCGAAAATGCTTCCTTCAATCGTATGAGACCTGACTGCGCCAGTCCTGTATCCCCTACGATGTCGTTGATCGCAACAATCAAGATAGCGAATTTGGCCAGCGCCTGCAAACCATGTCAGAAGATATCACTACCAGAGACGAGAGGGGATCTGACCTTTCCACTGAAATACATAGAATCAAGATCGGATTGGGCGTTCATGTCCTGAGATACTTCCTGGGCTGCTATGCCACGAATGACCGTCTTGGCCTGTTCGGAGATCGTAGTCAGAGAACCTTGAACCGGGCTCCACGGGGCAAAATTCATGTTGACGGGCAGGTTAGGCTCGACCATCGTCCACTGATCAGCTACAACCAGAGTTCCACTTCCCTTCGCAGGGGTCTGCAGATAGATTTGCTGGACGGCAGCGCGGGTGGTGGCATCAAACGAAGCAATATGATGCGGCAGCGCATACATGGCCAGTTTTCCATCCTGGTGTCCCTCCTTGGCAAACTTGAAGCCATACGTGCCCGTGTTGCCGTTCACCGATCCAGATAGTTCGACCGTCGTGGGGAAGACACCGGCAGCCTGGTCAAGCACTGCCTCGCCGTTGCCGGGATCCTTTGCGATTTGGATGGTTCCAAAGAATGGCTTCGTGGATTGGGCGAGTCCGTTGTTGACCACCTGCAGGTCCAATTGTTCCCCGGTAGTCGCGTACCCATACACCCGCCAGATCTTGCCGTCTTCGAGTTGAAAGGTGTACTTGGCAACGCCGGCCTTGGGATCCTGGGTGGCGCGGGTAACGGTCCGGAAGAATACTCCTGTCCGAATTACAGGAGTCGCTCCCGCGTATTGAGCAGTGATGAAGGGCATTCCTTGAACCAAAGGGAAAGAAATGGCTGGGACATCTCTGGCGCTCGGTTTCAGGTGGATTCTTGCGGAAAAGGCCGTGATGCTGTCGACTCCCACAGCCGTATCCGAACCAAGTTCCAGGGCGCTGATGACCATGGATTGAATACCTACCGGGTTAATATAGTATGCAGCTGCCCCGGAATCCTTGGGCGGACCAAAGACTATCTGGTTGGCGTCGATGTGGGAGATCGTCATGCCAAAGCTGGCGGCGGCTCCTTTTCCCGCCCCCCATGCTATGCCATAAGGATAGGTATACGTCGGAGCCGTCTGGTCACCCAGGAAGAAATTGGCGTAGAACTTGTTGGTCTGAAGCGGCGTGCTTGACGCAATACCCTTTCGGGGAACAGGGTGGTCGCTTCGAGCCTGGATAGAAGGAGGAGGCGCGGCGGTCCCGATGGGATCCGAAAAGAGATCTCCCGACGCCATTGGAGGAGATGGAATGGGTTGAGCAGCCGTGGGAGCGCCTGAAGATGGTTCAATCAAGGTAGTTGGAGACGGAATGGGATCCGAGATAAGAGGACAAGTCGTGACCTTGCCGTTGGTATCGAGGTTACTATGGACGTCTCCCGTTGTCTGCGGTTGTTGGCCAGTCAAGGCGGGTAGGGTGACTACGTTTCCTCCAGACTGCACAGCGGTGGCTGTTGGACTGCTACCGCTACTGAGACCAGATCCTGGCGTTTGCGCTCCTTTGGGAATTCGAACGGTGACGGTAGTGTTAGTCGTTTCGGTAAGGCAGGATGTATCGCGTATATCAAGTAGCCGGGGATGAAGGCTGAGCTCTCCAACGCTTCTCGAGTCTCGGTCAGAAATATGAAGGCGGACGTGTTGTTGGTGGAAAAGGGCTAGGGCACTCTGGCAGAAGAATACCTGTATGATAGTCAGCCTGATGAACCCCATAGTGAGTTTGAGGCCCCTCATTGCGGGGGATCTGTGATCTTATCGTGTTTTGTATGCTATGTTCTGTGATATCAAGTCTAACTGCGGCTTGTGGTCTAGGTGAAAGTCGCGAACATGGGAATAGAGGTCTTTGGCCGACGCGCACACTCGTGAGCGAGGCTCCAGGTTCAAATATCCGGCCCATGGGGAGATTCATCGGGTCAACAATGAGAGCCACCGACGAAACGGCGCCAACTTAATGCCAGCGGAGTGAAGATCGAGGCCCGGACTTTTGATGCCCGGCAGCGTTACTGCGCAACATAAGGGCGAGGGAATGTGATGGTCTCAGAAACAATGCTCAAGTCTTACCAGTTAGGAATGTTGACCGGTTTGCCCGGGAACTCGAACTCGTCTTATAACGAGAAGAGGCGTGTTATAAGGATAGAATACGATTTTAGGACGAGGGTGGCCGTAGCGAGACGGTATAGGCAGGCATCGGCGATGATCTTGTCTTGGTGATGTTGGATTCAGTATCCAAAAGCGGTGGCCGGGAGACGCCGCAGGGCTGGCAAAAACGGTATTTGCAGAATCGAGATTAGCAAGAGACGAATGGAGATAGCCAGACTCTGAAGATGGAAGTCGTGGTTGACGACTACCCTCTGGTTTAAATGCTGTTGCTTCTGTCGTCAGATATTCTCGAGGGAAAGAAGTGTTTCGGCACACGACTAATGCTGCAAGAACGACCCTCTTTGACTGACGCATCCTGGCACTTGGCGTGGAGACCCGGCATCGTCGCTGCCGGTGGATTGACCGAGAAAACAACCACTCATGGGGATGAGTGGTGTGCGATTGACTGAGCAACTGGTCACTTGGCCTTGTGGCAGTGGCATGTAAGTGGGAGAAACAGCCATCAGCACACCGAACGTATTTTCAATAGACCGACTCTGGCGGTTTCTTTTCGGGCCATTTCCTCGAACGTTTGAAACCATGACATAAGGACATCAATTAACGCAGACGTGGGCCACCAGGAAGGGTAGCATTTGCTACCGCAGGATTTTTGAGATGAGGTTGAAGTTGAGAGACTTGTTGGTCAGACGAACACATGTGTGGTTGCACGAGTTCGTGCTGACATGTTGGTGTGACCGGATGCCGAGCCTTTGGGATCTACTTAGTCTCGGCGGTTTCTCGTGTTGTGTGTGGACGAAAGTCAACCACTAAAATGAATGAGGATTATAATTTCCCAAAAGGCATGAATCCAGAATGTCAAACAAGGCCAATAGTTTTGTTCCTACTTTGCAACTATCGTTTCGCATCCCAAACAGACTCTCGGGGTATCAAAAGCAAAGCCAGTAACTCCAAAGCACCAATCCCCAAATCATAACCCTAGGGCGCTATACTTGCCCCTGACACTCTCATCCAGAACATGTCGTAGTAAAGCAGACGTAGTATATCCCCCTTTGCGTTCTTGACCTTTCTCGCCCTTTCTCGACTTGTGCGCACGAACACGATCAGCGACTTCGGCCTCAGCAGACCCTCTGCGTCGCCTCTCTTCCTCCTCGCGCTTCTTTTCTTTCCGCCGCCTTCTCTCGTCATCGCCCTCGTTCTCTCGCTCTTCTTCCCTCTTGCACCTCCGTATCTGCTTCTCCGTGAGCACCCAGGGTACCGAGAGAACATCCTTCTTGAACTGCGTCCGCCGCTCCCACAGCGCCACCTCATGCTCGGTACACCTCAGTATTTTGACCTTCTCGATCTTGATCTGTCTCTCCTCGCGGAACGTGGCGACCATTCCCTTGACATCCAGTACGGAGCCCACGTCGACGTCCACGCAGTCGGCGGGAGGTTGCGGCTGGGGTCGGATGCCCTTGGGTGTCGTGGCGGTGGCGGGCACCTTCATAGGGACAGTGCATTCGATGCAGGCTCCGCTGCTGTCGTCAAGCGTGTAGATGCGGCGGCCCGGGAAGTCGTCTACGGCCACGACGATGCCGACGATGCGGACCCATTTGATCGGGAGGTTCTTGTAGAAGTAGAAGTCCTGGACTGCCAGATGTCAGCGGGCGTAGCGGGTGGCGCGATGCGGCATGAGCGGACCTTCAAAGTCTGGGACCGATCGCAGGGCGTGAATATCGATTGCGTGCATCAGGCACCAGGTGTTGGATGTCGGAGAGAGGTTGAGGCAGTATCGCGGGTAGAGGTCTGTGGGCGCGTCGCCCGCCATGGCGTGACTTGTTTCGAATGAGTCCTTGGGGACGTGACCATCATTCCATCGAGATTGCCCAGGATTCTGGCGATGCGACGCGTGTCGTGATGCTGTGGAAGGGAACCACGCGACGTGGGTGACAATGGCTGTGAAGTTTACTGGGAATGGTTGACCTGGGGATGCACTGCAGGCCCGGAGGTGTTGAGTGCCCCGCATTGTGGCGTGCGCTACCTTACACAAGCGCCTGAATCACTCCAGGTACCTACCCTTGACAGCCTCCAGATGAGAAACTAACGGGCTACAAATCGTAGCAATGGAAATTATTGATTTAGATATCAGCTCAACCAACTCCTAAAATGGCTAATCCCGGCCTATCCCATAGCCTCATACCCGGTGTATCCCGTGCCCCGTGACGCCGAATCGAAAATAGTGTTTACCGCTTCGATCTTCTACCAGCCCTTGCGGGTTTGCTCTCCTCCGCCTTTGGCTTCTTCAACCGGGCGGCGGCGGCCTGGAAGGCTTCTTCCGAAGGCTCCTCCTCCATGACCGCCCTCTTCTTGCCCTTCTTCGGCTGACTCGTAGCTCCGTACTTGGCAGCCAGGTCGTCCAGGAAGCCCGCGCGCTTCTGCTGGTTGCTCTTGATCAGGGCTGCCAGATCGTCCTCGCCACCGTCCTTGGCCTTCTTCTTCCCCTTTCCTTTCTTATCACCGAAAAGCTTGTCGTGAACGCCCAGCTCTTTGGCATACTCCTCTGCCTCCTCCGCCTCGCCCTTCGCGGCTTTGACGCGTGCAGCCTTGGACAGCTTGCTCTCCTTGGTGTACCTCTTGTATCCCTGGACGTCTTCACTGGCGATGGCCTCGTCGATGATCTTGCGGAAACGCTCGTCGTCCTCCAAAACATCACTCAGCATTACCGACTCGTAGATCTTGTCCATATCGCCCTTGGCGTTCTCGTAGGCAATCAGAATATCATCCTTCTCCTCGTCTGAACCCTTGTACTTCTTGGCAAACTTCTCGATGGCGTCGGCGGAGATGGCATCGCGGAACTGCTCGCGGTAGTAGTCGGACCAGTTGAAGCCCTCGGAGTCGATGATGGACTCGGAAGTCGAGCCGGTTGTGTCATAGCGCTTGCGTCGGGCAGGGTCTGAAAGGATGGCGTATGCGAAGGCGATGGATTGGAATCTTTCCTTTGCCTCGTCTCTTTGGTCATCGGAGACTTTGTCTGGGAGCGGAAACTTTTGATCAGCTAACTTTCGATAGAGACAGCGCCCAAGATACTCTTACCGGGATGGTTCTTGAGTGCCGCCTTGCGGTACGCCGACTTGACCTGGTCAGCCGTGGCTTCACGCTCGAGTCCAAGAATCCCGTAGGGGTCAATCGCGGGGGGCTCGCCATCCACAAGGTCGTCGGAAGCGGGAGATGACATTTTGGAGGACTTGGTGAGAATGGGTTGTCAAGTGTATGGAGAGATTGCGAACGAAGCTTTGCGACGCGCTGGAGCTACTCGATAGACGCGACAGCTAAAGTGGTGGGTCCATGTTCGTGCTGCTGTGTCAGGATCACGTCCTGGTCCGTGCTGCCTGCAAGGTCGGTGAACGGCACGTCCACCACCGACAAGCTCGACCTGGAAATCATGACCCCTCTCACTCCGACATCGACCGCACCGTGAAGTCCACTTGCACTCGCGACTGCAGATATTACACAGCAGCGCTCTAGACGCTAGTATTGGCTCACCATTAGAGCCTGTATCTTGCTCTCCGGATTTGTTCAGCCTGGACAGACTTTATTCCAGACGTCTGCATCGCGAAATATGACATCAGACGTCGATTCGATAGAACCCGCGCCGATAGCGCCGGGCGATCACAAAGGCTACCTTGAATACGCCCTCTCACTAGCAAAGCAATCGCCGCCAAAACCCAGCAACTACCGCGTGGGAGCTGTCCTCGTCAACCCAGCCAGCAACAGCGTCGTCTCAACAGGCTACACCCTGGAGCTGCCTGGAAACACGCATGCTGAGCAGTGCTGCTTCATGAAGCTGGCGGAGGAGTACGAAGTTGCCGAGGAGGAACTGGGCGATGTTATCAAGACACCCCTCGTCCTATACACCACCATGGAGCCGTGCTCGGTCAGGTTGAGCGGGAATTTGCCTTGTACCAAGAGGATTCTCCAACTGCGGTCCATCATCAAAGCAGTCTACGTCGGGGTGCAGGAGCCGGAGAAATTCGTCAAGGATAACACGGGGCGGACGGCTCTGGAGAGGGCGGGTATCGACTTTTTCCACATCAAGGGGTTGGAAGGCGAAATCCTGAAAGTAGCCACGGCAGGGCACGGAAAGACCCCAGCATAAGCGCACCCGTTTGGTACGATGCTGCCCGCTGTTGGCAAGAGCAAGTCGTCCTAGCGGAACATGTTGCAACCAGCAGTTATGGGCCAGAGTCGTGTGGCACTGCATGTATGATGCAACGATTCGTTGCGTCGGCGGGATCTTGTCAAGTTCCATGCTTGGCAGAAAATTTGGCAGCAAACGATTCAGCAGCAACGGGCCTGTTCGATGTGTCATTATGCATGTCGCATAGTCAACTGTCAAATTGAAGAGAAACTCGTGGAAAGCTAGAGCAAGGACATCCGCATCATTGCGTGGGAAAGGGGTAAGATGAGGGCAACGGAAGGAAAAAGCAAACACGGAGGAGCGGTGTGTCCGCAAGAGGAAAAGAGCGTTGAAAAAGCAAACGCAGCAAGCGCTACAACCTGACTCTTTGAATCGGGCAGCCAGGCGATATGCTGCCGTGTAGAACATCTTTGGTCAGTCCCATTGCTCCTGTCTTTCCACCGTTGAAGCCGTGTTCAATCCACGAGCAATTTGCTTGAAGATCATTAGGGAAGCATATTCCCCTCTCCAAATTGACATCCACGTGCAAGCTGTGCAGCAACGAGACAACAAGCAATTAATACCATCTGCAGACTTGGGGAAACATTGCGTCCCAAGGATCGGATTCCTCCAGGTTTCCAGGGGCTTGGGCTCGATAAAGGTGTCCCCGGAAAGCAGTAGCGATTGCTGGAAAGCCCCTGTACTGCAACCATCCCACGGCACCTCAGATTCGCCAATTGGGAGACTTCCTGAGCCAACAAATGATGCTGGGGTTGTGTGGTTGTGCGTACCGCGTAATGCACACTCTTGGGAGAACATAAAAGAGAAATTGAGCCAGCGGCGTGTTTCCATTGGCTGACTGTTTTCATAAGGGAGCACATTGGGTTGCATAACTGCATATGATGAAAGTCTTTTTCCACTTTGCCCTCTGCTTTTGGGTTTTACTTTTGGGTTTCGACATGGCGGTCACGAAGAGCAGCCGCAGCCGGCATGCTTCCTGGACATTGCCGATATGCTTGACAGCCAGCGTGTCTGAGCGCTCTGGCAGGTACCTGCTGCACACAAGCATCCAGTGCCTGCCTACCTATGAAGGTTTGACGATGAGGCATCGACACTTGACCGTCCCCTGCCTAACACCATCCTTCCCCAAGTTGCTGCTTTCTAGACTGAACCGGCTTCCTCAAAACCTATCTCCCTATCGTAAAGTTCCACCCATTTCTCTCTTCATCTCCATGTCTTACATTGAAATCCCCCCCTTTGCTTAGCACCAAGTACACATGTACTCGCGGTGTCTCTTTAGCTTTATGCATTCCCTTTGACATTGTTCCCCACCTCAACTGGACCGGGATACGCTGCCTTTGAAAGATCGCGGCGCCGTCTCCGCCCACACACATCTCCTATCCCGACGACAATCGCTACCAAACCTCTCTATCCTTCGGGCTATACCACTCAAGCTAGCTTCAGGCTTGCTGCATACGTGCTGTCTCGCCGGCCTCCGGCATCTAGCTACCCGCATAATTTATCTGTTTGTCGTTTGGTGTCTACCATTGTGATCAACCAGCCTTCAGAATCCCGTTTGGCATGCTTTCCGGCCAGCCTCTACACGTCAACCTTTGCCCTTGAGGAGCATCTCTTATACCCGAGAGCCATCCCCTGGGACACAGCCCTGTTCCTCTCTGACTTCGCCATCACTTTCGGTCTTTTTGTTAGTCAGCACCTGGAGTTCATACCGATCAACACTTGCTCTCAATTAACTCTGTACACCGACATGGCGGATCGTGGAGGCCGTGGCCGTGGTGGAGACCGCGGACGAGGTGATCGGGGCCGCGGAGGCGGTGATCGCGGTCGTGGCGGCGGCGGTGGAGGCTTCCGTGGAGATCGCGGCGGCGGCGGCGGCGGCTTTAGAGGAGACCGCGGCGGCCGTGGCGGCGGTGATCGCGGAGGCAGAGGCGGCGGTGATCGCGGAGGCAGAGGCGGTGGCTTCGACCGTGGCAGAGGCGGTGGTGGTTTTGATCGTGGCAGAGGTGGTGACCGTGGGGGTCGCGGTGGCCGAGGAGGTCGTGGCGGCGGTTTCCGCCGGGAGCCATTCGAGGGCGAAGCCCACTCGTTCTTCGGGCAAGTTCAACAAATCATCTATTCCTCCTATCGAGTCGTGGTATACTAACATTTCTCACAGCCAAGGCCAAGCCGTCCCTCAGCCTGATGCCCAAGTCACGCAGCTGGAGAACCAGATCATCCAGGGTCATCAGTCCAAGGACATGGCTCTTGTCAAGAAGATGAGCGGCATGAAGCTTACCGAGGGCAACGCCAACGCCCTGATGCCTCGTCGCCCCGCCTACGGCACCAAGGGCAAGGCCATCATCGTCTGGGCCAACTACTTCAAGTTGGACGTCAAGCCCAAGGTCCTTTACCGCTACAATCTCGAAGTCCGCAAGGGCGAGAAGGACGACGATGAGGCTCCCGAGGTGGACCCCAAAGGCAAGGGCAAGGCCAAGGCCGGCGGCGGCGGTGGCGACGGCCCGGCTGCCACCATCCCCGCTCGCAAGCTCAAGCTCATCCTCCAGCTGGCCATCGACGAGCTCAAGAAGCTCGAGCCTAACGCCATCCTCGCCACCGAGTTCAAGTCCCAGCTCGTCTCGCTCACTAAGCTGAAGCTCGACAAGAACCCCATCATCGTCAAGTTCAAGTCCGAGACCTCCGGCCGCGAGGATATCTACAACGTCAAGATCGTCGGCGAGACCGAGGCCCCGTTGGAGGCTTTGGCCAAGTACCTGCAGACCATGATCGACACCAGCGACCCCGACGAGGAGAACTTTCCCCGATTCGCAACCTCTGTGGACGCCCTTGGCGTCGTTCTCGGCTTCACTCCACGGCTGAAGGATTCCGTCACTGCTATTGGCAAGGGCCGATTCTTCCCGTGGGGCCCCGGCACCGCTCACGCGCAGCTCGGTCACGAGAACCCCCTGACAGCTATTCGTGGCTTCTTCCAGAGCGTCCGACTCGGCACCGGCAGGGTCCTCCTGAACGTCAATGTCACTCATGGCGTGTTCAAGACTTCCGTCAAGATCAGCGACCTTTGCCGCTGGTTCGGCGTCAATGTGTTTGGCACAGGCAGCTCTACCAACTCTAACAACGCGCGGAGCTACCTGCGCATTCTGTCCAAGTTCCTGGCCAGGACCCGCTGCGAGATCGAGTACCTTAACTCCAAGGGTGAACTGGTTCGTTCTAAGAAGGCGATCCAGGGCCTTGCGTGTAAGCACGACCTCTCGCGGCCCCCTGTCGACACCACTGTGTTCTTCGCCAATGGCTTCCACTATGGTGGTCCTCAGGAGGTCAGCTTCAAGATGGACCCTGAGGAGGGTCAGAAGACGGTCTTGGGCAATAAGCCTCCCGGCAACTACACCATTGCACAATACTGGCAGTGGAAGTACAAGCAAGTCCCCGACAAGTCCATGCCTCTCGTCAACGTGGGTACGGCTGCTAGGCCGCTGTTCTTCCCCGCCGAAAGGTGCACCATTGTCGCTGGGCAGCCGGTTCGCTCGAAGCTCACCGGTGATGAGACGACGGTCATGCTTGACTTTGCCTGCCGCTCTCCCTTCGCCAACGCCGTTTCCCTGACGGTCGACAGCGCTCAAGCCCTGGGTTACGACCAGCCCCTCCTGCAGAATTTTGGCCTCAGTGTCGATAGGAGGCTCTTGTCCGTCAGCGGCCGCGAGCTGATGCCCCCTACTGTCACCTACGGCAATGCCAAGACGCTTCAGACTCGCGCTGGTTCTTGGAACATGAGCGGCGTCAAGGTTGCCAAGCCGGGTCCCAGGATCACTTCGTGGAACTGGGTGCGCATCATTGAGGAAGGGCGAACTCCCCATGTCTCCACTCAGGTGGCTGGCCAGTCCGTGCAGCAGTTTGTCCAGTTCCTCAACACCAGTGGCATTGCCATCGATACTCAAGTGCCCAACACCCCTCACGAGATCACTGTCCAGCGTGGTCGCGAGAAAGAGGACATCAAGGCTGCCTTTCAGCGTTACAATGAACACGTCATGGCCAATAAGGGCACCACGAAGAACTTCTTCATGCTCGTCATCCTGCCCAGGCAGGACACCACCATCTACGGCGCCGTCAAGTCTGTCGGCGACACCATTTTTGGTTTCCACACTGTCTGCTCTGTGGAGAAGACGTTCTTCAAGAACAACCTGCAGACATTTGCCAACATTGGTCTCAAGTGGAACCTGAAGAATGGCGGCAACAATCACCTCGTCAAGGACTCTATCGATATCATCACGTCAGGCAAGACCATGATCGTCGGCTACGATGTCACCCACCCCACGAACATGCCCAACGACAAGAATGCGGCGCCCAGTCTTGTTGGTCTCGTTGCGAGTGTCGACAAAGAATTGGGGCAGTGGCCTGCTTGCGCATGGGAGCAGGGCAGCCGCCAGGAGATGTTGGGCGAGGAGCTGGTTGACGCTTTCAAGAGTCGACTAACGCTGTGGCGCAGCCGCAACGCCGGCAAGCTGCCCGAATTCATCGTCATCTACCGCGATGGTGTTTCCGAGGGCCAGTTCACGCAAGTTCTCACCGTCGAGCTGCCGCTGATTCGCAAGGCGTGCTCTCAGCTGTACCCTCCCAACCAGCGGCCCAAGCTGTCCATCATTGTGTCCGTCAAGCGCCACCAGACGCGCTTCTATCCCACCTCGGAGCAGAACATGGACCAGAAGTCGCGTAACATAAAGAACGGCACGGTTGTCGATCGCGGCATCACCCAAGCCCGTTACTGGGACTTCTTCCTTACGGCTCACACGGCCCTCAAGGGAACGGCGCGCCCTGCGCACTACACGGTGCTGATGGACGAGATCTTCCGGGAGAAGTACGGCGTTGGTGCTCAGGCGGCGGACCAGCTGGAAAAGCTCACCCACAACCTGTGCTACTTGTTCGGCCGCGCCACCAAGGCAGTCAGCATTTGCCCGCCAGCATACTACGCCGACATTGTGTGCGACAGAGCTCGCGTCCACCGCCCCGAACTCTATGATATTTCGGACACCGAGTCGGTTTCCACTGCGTCTCGGGCGGTCTCGGTTGCCACGATCCAGGTCCACGACAACCTGCGCGATACCATGTATTACATCTAATGGAGACGTTGTACATTGTTGAGTTTTGGATCGACCAGCGATTGAAAACAGCGTTTTGAGGCAGCGTTTCGATGGCGCATGGTGCCAAAAATGAATAGACAGAAAAGTAGGATGGCTCCATAGGCTTAAATACATTAGAAAACCCGCAAACACTGACTTGCGTCCAAACTTGATGGTGATGTTCGTGATGTGCAGCCGCATCGTCGGGGTCCTCGGCCGAGCACGGCGTTGCGGCCGGGCCGGGCCGGAGCAATTTCATTGGCTTCATATTGACGTCAGTGGGGTTGGAGGGGCCCGAGGGGCCGGAGTTACAGCATGAGGGGCAAAGCTCCAGCGGCGGGGTAAGAGCTGTTGCCCTGCTGACAAAATAGGTACGGATAGCAGTGACGAGATAACGGAGCTTGGGAGGAGTTCGTCATGTCCGAAAAAGCTCCAGTTCTGAAGCTTTCATCTCCGAGCTTGTTCCAGCTGCATCTCACAAACCTGCACACCTATTTCCATGAACTCCCTTCGAGGCCTGCAGAGGATTAAGCTTATTCAAAACACACTCACCACCAAGCCCCCCGGTAAGACGCGGATCCAATTGATGGCCTGGCGCAATTAACCACTTACTGACCTCTGCCCACAGGACGAATCAGTCAGTTTGCGACCATGGCCGCCACCACGGATGTCAAGAACTACAAGTTCAACCACTCGATGTGAGGCTCCCTTCGTCACTACCCCAGTCCACGATGCTAATGAATCCCAGGATCCGAGTGAAGGACCCCAAGCGCTCCGGTGCGCCCTCACCCAACCCAATGCTTCACCCGTCACACTAACCCAGGCCCCCCTCAAGTCAAATTCTACGAGACGCTCGGCATGTCCGTGATCAAGGAGATCAAGATGCCGGAGGCCAAGTTCGACCTATACTTCCTGGCGTACAACTCGCCCAAGGCGCTGTCGGCGGGCAACAGCGCGTTCGACCGCGAGGGCATCATCGAGCTCACGCACAACTACGGCACCGAGTCGGACCCGGAGTACAAGATCAACAACGGCAACACGGAGCCCCACCGCGGGTTCGGGCACACGTGCATCAGCGTCGACAACATCCAGGCCGCCTGCCAGCGCCTCGAGGACGCCGGGTACGCGTTCAAGAAGAAGCTCACGGACGGCAAGATGCGGCACATCGCGTTCGTGCTGGACCCGGACGAGTACTGGGTCGAGATCATCGGGCAGAAGCCGATCGAGGAGACGGCGGAGGTGAAGGAGACGGATGTGACTACGTACAGAATGGTATGCATACAATGGAAGAAGAAGATGGAGAGAAGGAAGGTAATTAACTGATGGCAAAAACCAGAACCACACGATGCTCCGCGTCAAGGACATCGAGAAGTCGCTCAAGTTCTACCAGGACGTCCTGGGCATGAACCTGATCCGCAAGAACGAGGCGAGCGACTTCACGCTCTTCTTCCTGGCGTACGGCGACCTCAAGGAGGGCGAGAGCCAGGCGAAGCGCGAGGGCATACTCGAGCTCACGTGGAACCACGGCACGGAGAAGGACGAGGGGTTCAGCTACCACAACGGCAACGACCAACCGCAGGGCTTCGGTCACATTTGTGAGTTTTCCGACAATTCATCGAGTTGGTCTTTTCTGTTTGTTCTTCCAAAGCTAATCATGAACCCCAGGCGTCACCGTCGACAACCTCGACGCCGCGTGCCAGCGCTTCGAGGACCTCAAGTGCAACTGGAAGAAGCGCCTCACGGACGGCCGCATGAAGAACGTCGCTTTCCTGCTGGACCCGGACAACTACTGGGTCGAGATCGTGCAGAACGAGAGATTCGCCGGAAAGGAAAACTTCTAAGGCAGTTTTTATGCAGGGCGGTGTTTTTTTGAGAGTGGGATGGCGTTTCAGTGAGACAACGGCGGGCGGATGAGTGAGTTACGGACGGGGGCGTACGAAAAGTGTTGTCTTGTGATGCTGTTCCTGGTGGCTGGGGTTAAGATCACCTTGAGGGAGATACCTATCGTGAGGAAATCAGATTTGAATCTCACACGTCAGCGTATATTGAAACCTCATCGTCATTGTCATTATCTTAATTGTTGTCCTCGTCCGTCGTTGTCGTCGATGTTGTTGTTATCGGTGTTATTACTAGGTATGAACAAACGGCTGGATTTCGGATCATGAATTATACCGATTCTACGCCTAAAAAAACATCCGAAAAGTGAGAGAAACCCGCATCCATGCCAAATTAAAGTGAGATTTAGATCGGTGTCGATGATTGACGACGGCGGCAGTCAGGCGCTGTCGTCGGTGGATGAAGGCAGTCCAGGCAAGTGAACTCTTAAGGAGCATTTTCTTCACGAGGAAATAAGATGACATGAAAATCGAGATAAAATTGCTCCTTCATTCCAAATCAAAGTGAGATTTAGAGAGGCCGTGTTGACAGATGAGATCCTACACGGCGGTGTTTCCTCGGATAACCCCGGCCGTTATGGAATCATGATGGAATCACTGCCGGATTCCATGCTGTGGCGATGCGGGAGCGCTGTGGCGTCAGTGCGTGCCCCCCGCCAAAAACCACACCTGGAATCGTTGACGCAAGACCAAACATCGCCCCGCGGACCCTGTAAATACCTATCCCGCCCCGAGCTCCCCGATTTATCACTACGCAATCCCTATTGAGCAACAGTTACGGCCAGCAATATAGTATATTAAATATTAATTAATATATAACTAGCTAAAAGGGGCTAAGTTAGCTTAAGTACTAGAAAAAAGGAGGGTATATATATCTAATATAAATAAGCTATATTTAGGTAGGAATCTATAAGTGGATTTATTAAGTTAGTGCTTATACCGGTTAAGCGGTGCAGGGTCTGACAATCCCCTCAATAGAACACTTTCAGACGACAGCGACCTCTCGTGCATAAAACCTCACAACCCCCCCACTTAGACTTCAACGTCTTTCTTTACTGCCGTCATCGAGACTTCAAACTTCGTTGAACCCACAACGCAACCTGAGAGTCCCGCAAATGCGATTCTCACCCTTCTTCTCAACCATCGTCTACACCTTCTCCAACCTCACCCGCGCCCGCGCCCCGCAGCTCGCCGCAGTCCAGCAACCCTTCGTCACGCGTCCCTTGCGCGCTTCTATGCCGACCGTCCCCTTCCTGGGCGCTTTATTCGGCTCGTCTTCTTCTTCCCAGGACAAGATGTCGTATCCCGATAAGAGGAGCGATGATGAGTGGAGGGCTGTTCTGAACAAGGGTACGTGGACTTCTCCTTTGCTGTAGATTCACTCGTTCTCCCCACACTGTTGGTGAGATTGAGGATGAGATGATGGACGTAGAAACAAATCAGAACCGAGACTGACACAAGACAGAACAATTCCGCATCCTCCGCCAAAAGGGCACGGAGCCCCCCGGCTCCGGCACCTACGACAAGCACTACCCGTCCGAGGGCGTGTACGCCTGCGCGGGGTGCTCGGCGCCGCTGTACAAGGCGAACCACAAGTTCAAGTCCGGGTGCGGGTGGCCGGCGTACTTCGACTCGCTTCCGGGGGCCGTGGTCAGGCACGAGGACCGGACGATGGGGATGGCGAGGACGGAGATCGTGTGCGCCAACTGCGGCGGGCACCTGGGCCACGTGTTCAAGGGGGAGGGGTTCGACACGCCCACCGACGAGAGGCATTGCGTCAACAGTGTTAGTCTGACGTTCTCTCCGGAGGAGGGCAAGGGCGAGGCGAAGGAGAGTAAGGCTTGAGGGGTTGGCTTGAGGGCGTGAACGGATTATGGAGCTGGCTTGGTGTTAAGGTATTTGAAGTGGGTTGGGTGGTGCGGTGGTAGCGGTGTGATTTGATATGAGTTGAGTGATAGATTTTTCATACAAGACAGTTCACTCGATGCGTTCATCTCAGGACTTGTACCTCATGTTGACACTTTGACACTTGCATCTTTCCGTATTACTGAACCTCCAAAAGGTTTGGTTACCATCAAATCAAGATATAATTGAACCAAATCCATAGCTGATTCAAGCAAATCAAAGAGAAACATAATTGGGTAGAAAATAGTTGCGGCTGTAAATTAAACACTTGGATTTAGGGGTTTTGCTACACTTTGAGGTATATATAACAGTTGACCCAGCATTCATCTTTTCACTTACACCGAACAGCAGGACTTTGACTCGTATATCTTAGCAACCAAAGCTGTGCAAATGGCATAGCCAGTTGAGTCTTACACGCTTGGGAGACTCTGGGAGTTCACATGACTCTATGAACTCTCGCAATGGGGGGAATGTATGAATATGTTATACCGTATGAATGGAGGAAAAGAACTGGGACAGCTATAGAGAAACCAAGACGACCAATTAAAAAACATCCTTATACTGCCAAATGAATCAAAATATTTTCCCGCCGTGTCAACCGGGGTTCTCACAAGCTTGCCTACGGTCGAACCAACTCTCGAACTCAAACCCATCTCCGGAGTGATCCAGGCAGAGAGAGCTATCTCCGCTGTGTAGCAGAAGATATAAAGCGAAAAGCATTTCCCGGCGTAAAAAGGAAAACAGACTATCAGTCCCTCAGAAGTTCCATCACAAAACAAAATCTCTTGCTACACGACACCTCACTGCTGTAGCAGACTTACGCCGAACCTTTCACACTTCCGTTGGAACAATCAACCACCCTCATCACACAACTCAAGATGTCTGGGATCAAACGCAAAGCCGAGCTCATTGCAGAGGACATCCAGGACTGTATAGTCGTGGCCACCTCTACCCTCTACCCCGCCGGATCCTCGACAACCAACGGAAAGACCTCGAGACCCTCCACGCGCCGCGCAGTTTCCTCGGATGATTTCAAGACAAAAATTTCAGTTCAGGGAATTCTCCTGAAGCGCCACTTCACCCGGGCATCCCTCAAGGCGCCGGGTATCGCCACCAAGGAGTCGACAAGGTGGTGCTTGAAGCAACCCCAAAACACCGACAAGAGCCCCCGCGAGGCACATGATTTCTCGCTCCTGAATTATGAGAAAGAGAACCTCTTCGTCCAGAATGCTGTCAGCGACAATAATGACGACGGCACCGATGACGAGGATAGGGGTTCCGTTTCCATGAACCCCAGCTCGGACCATGACAACGGCACCGCGATGGCTCTCCCCGCCTCAAGTCCCCTCAACAACGTCCCGGTATCCGCGCAGAGCTCTAGACACCGGCCGAAGACGGACTCGACCGGACGTCTCGTGCCTAAGGTGCTGTCGTCCTATATGCGTTCTGACGGGAAGATGGTGCTTCGGTTGAACATGGACGAGGTCAATCGGCTCAAGGCCGACGCGTTATGGTGTTAGTAAAGGTCCGAGGGGAAGATTGTCAACCAGATCTGCAGTCGCCCTGATGAAGTGAGAAGACTCATGACAAAGATTTGGGGATGGCATGTCGGAGACAGTGTGTTTGGATCGAGAAATGCCTCGTACCAATCGGACACCTGGGATGTATTTTTTGGATTGCAGAGGGCCTAGTAGGACCAGAAGAAAATGTACAATGTCACGCGTAGAATTGGAAGGGAGTGAACATGCTGTACGCGAAGTGCGGAATAGCATTAACTCCATATTTACATCTAAAGCGCTCCAAGTCAAGTGAATTTGTTCGTCGTTTGACAACACATGCAAATGTAGCAACCCGTACCAAAAAGCCCCTGCAAATATGCGTCCCCGTTATTTTGCTCCTCCGTTAGTAAATGCTGTTTGGCGTATGTCAGTTACTTCATGTACATCTTCGCGATTAGCTTCTCGATCAAAGTGGGATCCAGCACTGTCGGTCCGTGGCAAGTTATCGCCGCCGCAACTGACTTCTCGATGTTTCGCATCATGTCGCATACCACCTGCTGGCCATGGTCATTAGACTTCGGGTTCTTGGCCCATCGTCGGTAGCCAGCCTCGCCCGTCTGGGTTGCCTCCCATAGAAGCATCGACCTTGTGATGAACAGTTCTGAGTCATCAGCCTTGGGCGGAACGGGCTTTTGTGCGACGACGACGTCGGGTTGAGCCGCTGGTTGTGCCACAACCTCCTCGGTTTCTCTGACTGCTGTGGGTTGAGTGCAGGGAGATGCATGTTCCGCCTGACAGTGTTGACTGCCGTTAAGGTTGCTGCATTGTGTTGTCTTAGTTTGGTATTCATCATGTTCCGGAGGATCCCTCGTCACTCGACTGCTACATTGGCTGCTGCTGATAGTAGCTGTGACGTTGGGAACATCTGGCTGTGTACTGGACGTGATCGACAAGTTTTGGTCATGATCAGTTCCAAGTCCGTCGCCACCAGGTCCAAATGGTGCCAACGCGGAATCATTGGCAGAACCGGGGCCGGAAGCAAGACCCGCAGACTCAATCGTCTTCGTTGGCGACAAACGAGAACTTGGCCGAGATGGTATCGGTGGGAGAGGAATAGGCGTTGTGGAGATGGGTCTTGGTGGCACATCCTGCTTCTGCCGTTTGTCATCTTGTATGTCGACCTCATCATCATGCTTTCTCTTCGTAGTCCGCAGAACGATGCGGCCCTGCTTCTTGGGCTCTGCTGACGGAGTCTTCGACGGCGCCTTTTTCGTCGCAGGTTTGGTGGGCTTGTTGATCTCTGAAGTGATGATCCCTGCCGAGTGCGTTTGCGGCAATATTTGCGGCGAAGAAGAACTAGACTGTTGTTGACTCCGTTCAGTAATCCGCGGCGTAGACCTGGCCGAAGAAGTGGGAAATGGAAGTGTCCGACGAGGTGGAAGCTCGTTGTCCAGATCAATCCTCGACGAAGGCCGTCGACTGTTCCATCCTTCCTCGACAGGATTCATGTTCTCGTCTTCCAGTCTTGAAGAATGTATGGGCAAGGCTTGATACGAGGTTGACGGCTGCGATTGAAAAGTGTCGCGGGATGTCGCGGACGGTGGAAAGTACCCTGAAGAGGATTCGCTAGAGAAGGCTGGAGCACATGCCTCGCCATTCTCAATGACATTTTGAAGCCCGGAACCTGGCCTTGGTGTGCTCCTAAGATCAGAATTGGAGTAAATAGGGCCGAGACTGTGTTGAGCAACAGGTCTTGATGGTTCGTCGCCGTTTGCGTACGACATTGGTGACATCGGAGCGATACTGGACTGTCGGGAAAATGATACAAAGTTCCGTTGTTGAGAGTGAGACGCAACACTGCCTGCTCGATATGAACGCACAGCACTGGACGGTCGATAGGCGGGTCCGACGCTTCCTTGTCGGTACTGGAAGGAGTCCTGCGCTGACAAATGAGGGCTTTGATCTCGAGGGAATTGATCGAATGAGGCATGGCTGAATCTAGCACTCGACGGTCTCGCCGAGTAGCCCGTGGATGACGGTAGTCGAGCCGTGAGCTGTGATTCCGGGAGAAGCTTCGGCTGCAGCCCGAGGCCGTCAAAATCTCTCAAAAGGGTGTTGAAGTCCGCCTCCTTTCTGAACGTAAGGACAGCCTGTCTTTCCACTGGCACACCATCCTATACGATTTAGTACCTATGTATCAGCTGGATTGAGGGAATGTTTAGCGTACCTCCACACATTTCCATTGAATAATGACACGACGAGCTCGCTCTTGATATGCCAGCTGGAAATTGAACTCGGGTCTCCTCTTCCTGTCGTAGCTTCCAAAGTTGAGTTTCTGCTTGACCGTCAACAAAATGTCGTCCTAACGAGACTACAAACCTACAATTATGCCAACCGCTTTGGGTACGAGAACCATGAAATCTCTCTGTTCCCGAGTAGGCTTAGTCCCATAGCAATCGTGAGAGAGAAGCTGCTCTAGCTTGACGACTAAGATACAGTTGGACTCTTCTGATTCCCTGGACCATTGAGGAGAGTGATGTGGAACTCTCTTACGTAGGGAAGACTTCGCAAGAGGAAACTCCCATTGCAGAGGTTGAGGTGGCATCACGGTGGTCAAAGTTAGTGTTGGGGAAGGAGCATTCTCGCGCCCAGTATTTTCGGAACTCCTGTGCTGCTGATTAGTCTTTACGGTGGTGAGTCAGGTGTAGCAATAGTGCTCGTCAATAACGCCGCAGTAGTATCAAGACAGAAGAAATGACACTTGAAGAGGGGAAACTTCAACGTGGAGGAACACCGGGACGTGTGGTAAAATGTTGATGTCGGGAGGTAATCCGGAACGCACCCCGGGTCGCAGGGTCCCTCTCAGCCACGGCAGCTTGAGTGGAGCAAGATGCAGCTCTGATGAGGCTAGCCCCTTCTGGACACATGCTCAGCTCTTGTCTTATCAGCACGTGCTGATAAGAAGAGCAGCGACAGGGGATTTTTCGACGTCTGGTCCGTCGCGAAAACACGGTTGGTCGTCTCCGGCGCATCACTCCCCGATCGCAAAGGGCCCCTCTGACCGGCGCGACAACACCTTGCCCCCACCCATTGTGTGGTGCCAATTCCTCGACTCCCTTCTCGTCGCCAGAATCACGATCAGACATTGCGTCGAAGTCCAAAGTAAAATTACGCGTTTGCGACGCTCCTACACAATCCCCTTTGGCTCTCTTGGAGCCTTCCTGACGGGCTCGAGCCCTCACACCAAGCGCAAGTAGTCTGCTTGCTAGACTGTAAGTGAATAGTAGATCGTATCAATTCCATCTGCCAATCTCTGACAACTGCTATCGCAGGTTGACGTCACCCATCCAAAATGGCGCCGGCCAAAGAGGAACCCGAGGTCCCGCCTCACACGATCGACCGAACCCCAGAGTACGAAGAGTTTATGACCAAGCTCAGGGCATACCATCAGGAGCGAGGCACCACCCTCGAAGCTGAGCCCAAGGTCGGGCCAATCTTTCTTGATCTCTATAAGACATACAACCATATTATCGAGAATGGTGGTTACGACAAGGTCTCTGAGGAGAAGCTGGCATGGCGCCGGATGACCGGCGAGCTTGGCATCAACGCAGTCAACATCGCCGCCACCGCCTTCGCTCTTAAGGAGAAGTACTACAAGAATCTTGCGGCATATGAGATCAAGTTCCACCACGGCAAGGAGCCACCGCCGAAGGACATTTTGGAAGACACTTCAGCCAAGGGCGGCGGGCTGCTGACCCGTACGAGAGAGAACTTCCGAGGCAAGCGCGATAGTGGCGCGGTTGGCGATTCGGCAGCGGCATCCGGCGATGATGCTACTCCCTCTCGAGAGCGCCCGACTCCAGATGCCCCGCCCTCCTCAAGTGTTAGAGCCTCTCGTGGTCTGCGTGAAGCCCCTCCTCAGAGGGTCATCTTCCAGCCAGACACTGGTCCATCCAGACCAACTCGCCAGGCCTCGGGCCAACAGCCGAGCCATTCTGGCACCCCTTCTTCTACTGCCCAGTCTGGGGCCCATCACCCTCCCTCTCAACAAGTCCAGCACACCCCGGTTCCGCTTCCCCATCAACCGCGTCCTGCCCCGAGAGGTCCCAGCAGCAGTTTCAACCCGGCGAACGGAGAGAACGTGTCTCAAGCGATTGACATGTGGGTTCCTCAGTCGTTGCAACAGACACTTCAGCCGCCTCCTAAGTTGAACCCGGTTGATACTCCTACAAACAACCCGGCAGAATTCATTCGACGCCGACAGGTGGCTCGTTCTCTCCTGGAGCCGCCGCGTCGCACGGGACCCCACCCTGGAGGTAAGCAGATCTCGGTCCAACGGCCATGATGCCCACAAGCTAACACGCGCAGTCGGATTCGAGGGACCGAACATCTACATTCGCTGCCTCATGGCCCTACGCTCGAACATCTTCGAAGAGCAGCAGTTCGCGCTATACCATCTCGTGAAGATCTCCTTCGAACGCCACGACAAGTTTAAGTTTGAAGGCTTCCCCGGACTCAGCGAAGGCCTTGTTGAGAAAGTTCTGGAGATTGGCAGCTACTTTTACGACGTCAAGTGGAAGATATCTTGGATCTCTCACCTGGCTGCCGACAGCGTTGACACCCTTGATGGCAACGAAGGAACCGACGACATCCTGGAGCGCATCGACTCCCTCGCGACCAAGGAGCTCAATGAGCATATTGTTCCCGCCGAAATCGCTGACAGGATGGTTCTGATCAACGAGGCTGCCCTGACGCTAAGAAACATGTCCCTGCTCCGCGAGAACGCTGCGCACCTTGCCGACTTCCTGCCAATCAAGGACCTTATCTGCATTGTACTGAGCCTTCCCAAGCACGAGTGGGCGGTGGAGCTGAAGCATGCGATGCTCGATATTGCCGAGTCAATCACCCCCTATATGGAGATTGACTCTAGCGATCCCTTGTACAAGGTCCTCATGTGGCAATTGCGCGATTCTGACGATCGCGGCGTAATTCTCACTTCGCTTCGCGCGCTGGGACGGATCTCGATGAACTTCGAGGCCACTAATAAACTTGACAAGGTTCCTTCTACCGTCCTGGTCAAGATCAGCGAAATCATGTTGCTGAACGACGACGAGCTCATGGACGCCTGCCTTGACTTCCTCTACCAGTACACCGCAGTCGTCGGCAATGTTGACAACCTCGTCAAGTCGCTCAACTGCGAGCACCTGGTTGAACAGTTGGTCCGCCTACTCTCCCACAACGCCAGACGATACCATCATGAGACGAGCCTGCGGCCCCCCGTCAAGCCGCCTCAGACAGACGATCCCGCGGCCATGCCTGAAGATCTACTGCAAGATCTCCTCAAGCTGGAGGAGCCTGAGCGCTGCAACCAATGGGTCAAGTGCTTCTTCGAGGAAGATAAGGACTCTTTCGTCACGCAGATCGCGGCTTGGCAGGCTTACCAGAATGCGTTTAAGACCGCCCTTCAGGCCGCCGGCCAGCCGCTGATCACTCCTGCAGACTTTATCCGCAACAGTTGTTCGGTCTATAAGGGGTCCAAGGCTGAAGTGTGGCATGGTTCGGGAGCCCCAGGTGAGATGCAACAGAAGTTTATCATACACGGCATCCGCTGCAGGCTCCAGCCGGTAGGCCTCGACGGCAAGGTCTTCCTCCGCTGCCTTTGGGACTCGTCGTCTGGCCGCCCCAACGAGAAGTGCGGCCACTTCTTCGGAACGAACGAGACCATGTGGAACCACGTCGTCTCCACCCACCTCAACTGGACTCGCAACGAGGCGGGCTCTTTCGAAAACAAGGAGGAGGATCTCAGATGCCAGTGGGCCGACTGCAAGAAGTACGCGACGCCCACCAAGATGAAGCGCGCGGAGATGAGCCACCACCTCCAAACCCACTGCTGCCAGATCTTCAACGGTATTGCTATCAACAAACACAAGTCAGTTCCCGGATATACTCAGCCCGGCGAAACCATGACTTTCCAGTATGAAGAGACGGCCGCCACCCATGACGAGCAGAACCCTGCTGCCGGCCCCCAGGCTGCTGGCATTCCCCTCAGCGCAGTCCTGATCCTCCGCAACATTGCGCGCAACGTCGTCAAGACGCCCGCGCAGGAGGACCTGCTGAAGCTGCATGAGCTTGGAGGCGAGGGCGGTGGCTGGAACGAGCGCCTGTTCCGGACCCTGCTCCCTCGTCTGTATGAGATCATGAGCGAGAACAAGCTTATGGTATGTCGCACCCCGCAGTCTTTGAAGCACAAACCAGCTAACCTGTACCCAGGCACCCTACATTGTATCCCTCATCCAATTTGTGGAGTCTGAGAGGGACCTGTGAAGAACGCAGCAGAAGTTCAGACAAAGGGGCCATTCAAAAGAGCGTTGCAGACAGAAGCATTTGTCTTTCTTCCTTTTTTTCTTGTTTGTATGTGTACTGGTAAATACCCAGGCGTTGGAGAAGGGCGGGGCGGACGGGCGACCATGGAATTTTAGCAATTGGGAAGCGGGCGGCGGGATCACCCAGCATTTTTCACATGGGATAATGCGATGCGGCAAGGGACAGCAGCAGTTTCGGGGAGGTTGTGTGGATAATTACTAGCAGGCCAGCAATGTCCAGTAGTGTACCAAAATATTTGCAGTTGATGTAGAACAAATCAAGCCCACAAAATTCAGATAGCAATCATTGCGGTCCAGATTGTAGATTGTCGTAAAGAATAAATAAAGGTATGCGAATTGATGTTTAGAGTTCATCTCATGCAAAACTTCACTTTTTCCCGCTGCTCTCAGACCTGCAGCACACACACACATATATGATTGACGGCAGGGGGAGACAGGCACGCGCAAGGGCCGGGCCGAGAGAGGGGATCGTGGTTTCCGGGATTCCGCGCGCCGGCTGGCTGGGTGGAGGGGGAGGGATCGTGGATCGTCAGGTAACGGGACAGTGTGTGTGTCCCAATCCTCCACAGAATCCACATCGTGGGACCGGGGGAGGCTTCATTTGCAAGAAGTGGGGGGTCCACTTTGGGTGACTTCATCGTGAGCTGGAAGGGGGCCGCATGCTTGAGTGACTTCATCATGAGCTAGCAATTGACAGCCATATAGTAAGATCAATTGTGGAAAATCAAATGCAAGTGTCACATCACAGAAATAGGAGACGGCGAGTTGTATGAAGTAGTTGACACAGAGACGTGTCCTGGATTCTATCCTGCCATCATGTCTGTCTGTCTGACCCATCTAACCGGGAAACCCAGAGTCCAAGCCTTGAGTCTTTTTCTATCCTCTCGTGATCGTTTCCCCAAAGCCACCAACAAAGCCCAAAAATCCCAGAAAAGAACGTCTGTTCGAGGACCTCCAAGAAGAACCCCTGAACGTCGGTTCGATCCAAACGATGACACACCCCTGTATTTTTTGAGACTCCTGAAACTGCCTTGCCTGCTGAGAAACACACTCGATGATGATGAAAAAGCCAAAGTGATTAGGTGCCGTGTGACCCTTGGCGCTGGGGGGTATAGTCCCGTAGTTTAGCAATTGACCGAAAGTAGGAAAAAAAGGTAACGCAAGGAAATCGGCACGAAGTCGCAGAACGGCGCAACCATGTCGAGGCGGTGATGCTGGATCCACGGGTACCATATCTGCGCAAGGCAGACATACCGGAAATGTAGATCAGCGATGCCTCACATCGTACTGGAGACGATGATGTAGTGGACGTCTGCCAGCTTCGTGCGATGCCTCTCAGCAGTGAAGCTGAAAGGACGTCCTTGTGTTCGCTTAGTAGCAAGTGTAGCCACCGTCGATGATGACGTTGGAGCCGGTCATGAAGCTGGAGGCGTCACTGGCCAGGAAGACGCAGAGACCGTTGAGGTCGTCGACGGCGCCGAGGCGGTCCTGGGGAGTGAGAGACTTCCAGATCTTCTTCTGGGCATCGAGGGCAGGTACACGGTTGAGGGCGGTGTCCATGTAGCCGGGGGAGATGCAGTTGACACGGATGTTGTACTTGGCCCACTCAGCAGCCAGAGACTTGCCAAACTGGACGACACCAGCCTTGGAGGCGTTGTAGCAGGACTGCTCCTGGGGGTAGTTGACAATGCTTCCGGACATGGAGGCGACCAGGATGATGGAGCCAGGCTTGCCAGCCTTCATCATGGCGCGGCCAACAGACTGGGACATGAGGAAGGAACCAGTCAAGTTGATGTCAATAAGACGACGGAACATGGCGGGGTCGTAGGTCTCGGCCTTGATGTTGGAGCTGTTCAAAGACGTATGTTAGTGGGGCTGCTTTAGCGAAAGGGGGAATGTTGTGCATTTTGTGCACATCAGCGTGTGGGGAATGACGTACTCAGCAATGCCAGCCGAGTTGACCAGCACATCAGGAGCTCCGTAAAGCTCAACAACAGAGTCGACTGCAGCGTTAATGGCAGCGCCGTCACGGACATCCACCTTAAAGAAGGTGACGGGCAGGCCAGTCTTCTGGTGCAACTCAGCAGCGGCCTCATCTCCAAGCTCCTGGTTGGCGTCAAAGATGACAAGGGCCTTGGCACCAGCCTCAGCGCAGGCGCGAGCCATGTAGTTGCCCAGACCACGAGCACCACTGGAGATTGGAAGTCAGCAAAAAAAGAAAAAAATGTCCAATTGCATTTTTGAAAGTAGAAAAATCCCAATTGGAGTGGGAGGGGGAAAGAACTTACCCAGTGATGATGATGGTCTTGCCCATGACAGACAGCTTCTGCATCATGGGAGGCATGGAGTCGAAGGTCTTGCGGGTGAGAGGGACGACATTGTCGTTCTCGGGAGTCGGGAGGGGAGACTCGGTGGGAGGGCGAGAGTCGTGCTCGCGGACGGGGATCGAGAAGTGGTCGGACTGACCAGTACCCTTAGCATCGGGAGCGTAGACGGAGACGGGAATCTCCTTCTCGCGGACGACGTCGCTCTTGAAGGCGCGAGCCGAGATCGAGAAGGGACGAGCAGCCTGGCTGCGGATGGCGACGCGGGGAGCGAAGCGGGTGGAGAGACGGAAGGCAGAGCGAGCGGCGGCCATTTTTGCTGTCGGTCGGGGGAAGGTAGGAGAGGTTAAGAATTCTCTGAGGATGAAGCAAGTGCTGCTGTAGAGGATGTAGAGGAAGAGAGGTGTTTGACCTGTGATGGAAGCGCGAAGATGGAAAGTTTGCGCAAGGGTCAAGTTGTGATGTGGTGAGAGGAAGGATGTGAAATGGAATGTGGATGGGAAAATAAAAGACGGAGAGGTCTGAGTAGGAGCGCGTCAAGTTGATATAGGTTGGAAGGGGGGGTATCGGAGGTAGGTGAGGTGTGGCCCGTGTAAGGCAAGCTACCTACGGTAGGGCACCTCGATTTTTAACGGAGATGGGTAAAGGAGGGAAGGAGCGAAGGGGCAGACGGTGAGGTCAGCTTAGGACGATCCACGGGTACGGATAACTTAGCCAGTGGAGAAGGGCAGTCTAGCATACGGGGAGTTACGAGTGAAGCAAGCAAGGTCGAAAAGGTGAGGTGAGGAAGGAACGGGGGGAGCTACGGTGAGGTCTTGCCGCGTTGGCTGACTGGGCTGGGCTCAGCTGAGGGGAACGGTGTCAGGACGGCCAGATAGCCGTCTGCATACCTTTCAGCAGCCATTGCACCGTCTAATTATTCAAGGAAGGTACGAAAGTCAAGGTATCTCCTTCCTAGTCTTGCAAGTGATTGACTGGGACAGTAAAGCATGGACTGTGGTTGCGTGGAGTGGTTGCGTGGAGAACACTTAAGCTGGACCGTGGCGTGTGGTGCGGCGATTGCGATTGCGGAACCACCTCACCCCCATGTCCCCCATTTTTATTTTTTTTATTCTTCTAAAAATTCAGCCAAATATTTCTGCGGTCGGAGCTCGTGTGGGTGCATACGGTGAATGGGATTGTTTCGGCCGGTCGGGATGATGGGATGAGATGCGCAGTTGAGAGATCTGGACACACCCATTCGAGCTTGCTGGTTGCTTGCCTCTACAGGGGTAATAGCCGTTCCGTTGCTTGGGATTGGGGGCAACACCATGCACTGCAACACACTCACTCATCCAAGAAGATGGGGGTCCTTACGAGCCACTGAGGACGGTGTTCACCTCGGAAAAAATGAAGAAAAAAACACCATTACGAGGTACGGCCAGCAAATGGCAACCCGAAGCATTGGTACTCCAAGGGTTCCCCTTCAGCCTCAACACCCTCAGATAGTGCCCTGGAATCACTGGACATATCAGACCACCATCTTCCCCTGAACGACCCTGGGTGCCTGGGCACCTTCTGGAAGGCCAGAGACGGAATCTTCGAATTCTGGACGGCTCCGAGACCCCAAGCAGGTGCATCTGCACTGGCTGAGTGGAGTGCAGCTCAACGTGCAGGGCAGCTTGAGATGGATGGCGGCCACTCCGCCCTAGGACGTCCGTCAGGGCCGCCGCCTGCGTTAGAAGACGCTAATGCAAAGGCCTGCCGTAGCGTTGCAAACCCCATGTCAATCCACCCTACCGTTCACATGGAAGAGTAGCGTCCAAATCTAGCGCTTTTTAAGGTACGGCCTGCCTTACGTCATGTACCACAGACCACAGACCTTCGTCTCTGTCAACCCACCGTATCGCACATTTTGAGCTTAGTTAACGGGTCTCTGGGTCCGTCTTGTCGTCGACGGGTGGTCCCTGATGCCGTCATCTACCGCCAAGTGCATGATGGACGGCAATTGTGACAGCATATCAGCCTGAACCATGCTGTTGGCGTTGAGGTTGGGACGAAGACTTGCTGCTGTCGTGATGTTCGCCATCCAAGTCCAGAGAGAAAAGCTTGACTTGAGGCGATAACGGGTCGGAAATCATTGGAGGACGGGAACAGTGGATGCCGCAGTCGCGGGAGCCGGTGCATCCCCGGGGCGTCATGGTGGGCCACCCGACTTGACCAAGAGACACCGTCTCCGGGATCTTGCCTGTTCGCTTGCCTGGTCTCAGCGAGGAACTCTCCGACTGGACTGCGCTGACCGTCTGTCGTCCTGGATGCTCCTGTCTCTTCCCTGGTGGCTCAGCACGTTGTTCCACCCTTCTTGAGTCGCGTTGGACCTCTTAATGCCGTGTCGTTTGGGCCCTGTTTCTTCTGCGTCTGGTTCTGTTTCTGCGAAAACTGTGTCTTTCTCGGTTGACTCTGACAGATGACTTGGTTGCAGAAGCCAACCCATGCCAAGGTCAATGGCTGTAACCAGGGCTGTCAAACCGCGACTTACGACTCCCACTCCCTCTAATTCTGTCGACCTTACTAGACATTGACAACTTGGACGTTTTCAATAAAGAGTGGCTTCTGCATCACGAGAGGCCAATCTATT